CAGATTGACCTGACACCTGTCAAAACTCAGTGCAATCTGTGCACTCATCGACCATCATGTACAACCAGAATATAACTATCAACACAAGACAAACATTAGTGAATAACCCCAGAATATTGTCCAGCACCCAATGCAAGGAGAGACTGAACTCTAAAACCTATTATACAAAATATACAATACACATTTAAATAAAATTTCTTTGATCATAAGTGATATCTTAAAGGTATATATATATATATATATATATATATATATATATATATATATATATATATATATATATATATATATAAAGTGTTATTCAAGAAATATAAGCAGTCAATTGCTGATACCTCCTTAAGAGAGTAGACAGACCCATCGGGGATACTGTAGGTAACATCAATCAGCTAAGTGACACTCTTACTTGTGGGGGGGGGGGTAAACGGATATATATATATATATATATGTGTGTGTGTGTTAAAAACTTATTTCAACATGTTTTGCTGATCAGTATCATGAGAAAATGGATTTTATTGCAACCAAATTTACATCAATGAGATAGATTATGGTTCATATTAGTCATATGAATGCTGGATTTTTTTTCTCTTCTCTCCCCTGCTCATAAGATTTTCCAAATTATCTTATATATTTAGCATTCTGTTGGATTTTTATCCAAGTATGTGTGAAGAAAGAAAAAAAAATATATATATATATATATATATATATCCACACACTTTATGGATGTGCAGGTAGTGTAACTGCAGTTTGGAATAAGAAATCAGTAAACCAGGCTTGGATTCCAGTTCTCTTTGTTTCATTCACTTATGCACAAATACCTATGGGGAAAGGTATGAATTCATCTCTTCTTTCCCTCCTCACTATTGGTTAAATAACAGTACACTGGGCTCTGGGACCAAATTCTGATTTACCTTTCATAGCACCTGGAAGCCACCCCTGTCAGTGTTACAGTTGGATATGGTCAAATCTAATAGACCAGATTTGTGGTATTGAACTGCAATGGTGTCATGCAAAAAATCCTTCGTACTGGACAATGGATGAGACTTAATTGTGCAGAAACAGAGTAATGCTTTGTGCATCCTAATATATTAACAACTTCGACTCTTATGACAAGTCGAAATGGGTGATGTCTTGATGGACTAAGAGTGTGTTTGTATAATATAAAAACAAACCAGGTCTTGCATATATTTCATTGTTAAAGCTTACTTTAGCATTTACAACTAACAGGGTATGTGGTTAAAACAAAACTACTGATACATATAGGATGCCCTTAAAAAGGCTAGAGAAAATCACCCATTGTCTTGTATACAAAGTTGAGACATCCCATTGGCTAATTTTATCCCTAATACTCACTTCTATGGGTTAGCATTTAACATCAAATAGTTACTCTTTTACCTGACCCAGAATTATATATTTTTATTTACACAGACATTATCAGTACTGTAAAAGGAATTACAACAAAGTACCAGTGGCGTTCTATTAACGCAATTGTGTGGGATATTTTCACTTTTTCATTTCTTACTTGACGTTCAGCTGTACAGTGAGCTTGCTTGCTTTTTGTATGCAGTGAGGTTTTCTGCTTTAGCAATGTCTTCTAATGTACTCGTAGCTTACTTTAAACATTACATACTTAAATACATTAAAACTTTTTACCAGAATATGTCCCGTTGAAATGGAGGTGCAGCTAATATTCTTGTGTGCTTTTAATATTCTCAAAGTATGTCTAAGTAATTCAGCAAATGTCTTAATATTTATCTCCTATAGAAATGTCTAATATTATTGATGCTTTGAGCTTTTTCTTTTTTTCTTAATCATTAGTTTCATGCCCATTATATTTTAAATCCTTTTCAAAGCACCTTGAATATAAGGTTTCCAGGAGTCCTCAAATTTTTCTCTTCTCAAAAGGCATTTCTGCTCGTAGTAAATAGACCAGCTGACACCATCTTGCCGAGTTAATGGTTTCTATTTCAAGAGCTACAGTTAAGGCTTTTTTATTCTCTGCTCCCTTGTTTTATTTGTTAGGGTTTTTTTTCTCTCCTTGAAATATATCAAAAGTGAATTTTCCCTTTCTCTGCTATTTTGAAGTTCATTTCAATCTAACAAGAATGTTAAGTCAGTGTTTCTTTTTTCTATAATTTTTCATTAATGATTAATTAGCGTGAATTTGATATTTTGTATTGTGTAACTCTTTCTCTCATAACTTCAGGCTATGACAATTTCTATTTACATAAAGTGTGTTCGTGTATAATTATCAATACATATATTATTTTTTTTTTCCCCTTTTTATTGATAATCAGTTTTATGGCCCTTTTTTCACCTTGATATAATTCAGTTGTGATATTCTATTACACACAAAAAAAAAAAAATGAACCTGTTTAACACTCCTTCCCTCCATCAAACTTAAATTCCTGAATGACTGATATTCACTTTGTAATTGACATCAAACTCACCTTTTTAACAGTCTCTCTCAATATGAGACCCCCAGTTCAAATTTCACGATATTTGATTGTCTTGATAATATCTGCCTGGGTAGGCAATGTCAGTGTGTGGCACCATTGGGAAAGGGACTGAAAACTATGCCACGAGTTGATCCAAGTGTTAGGAGAGAAACTAGGAGTAGACAGAATTATTCAGAAGCTGTAGGTATTTATGCTAGTACATAGTCAGAAGTCATTGAGCTTGAGAGTTTGATGGTGGATTATGCACTCTCACCTATGAACTGTGTAACTAAGTTTACTCAGCATAATTGCAGTGTAAAAGACTGGTTAGCTTGGTGGGTGTGCACAGATGTGCCTGGTCAGGTGTCTAGCCATCCTAGCAAACAGGCATATTGTGATACAAGCAGCCAGTCATACATATTCTTTGCTATGTCTTAGCAAATCTGTCTGTCTCTATCTGTTTTTCTATGTTTGTTATTTCTTGGACACTTTTACTGTATCCTTTGTTTCTCTACACTGTTTAACCTGCCCTTCCATTTTTATCATTTTAATCACTTCTATGATATATTTAATCTCAGAACCATTCTGACTTGATGTTATTCCAAGCACTACTCTTTTCATTGATGTCTACATTTCTGAGTTTTTGTTTGTTTTCTTTTTTTTCCTAAGCAATTTTGTTAATTTCCATGACTCTTACCTGTACCTCATAGCTGGCATGATATTCATTATACACTTCATATTTTAAACATTGCCAAGGTTATTTTCATTTAGATCTCTATTTTAAAATTTTTTTTACTGTTCATGTAGTGAGTCCACATAAAAAAGTATATAAACATAAAAAGAATTCAAGTTCAAATAAGACAATTGCTTTTAAAAACCTTGTCGAAACTCTGTCTCTCTCTGTAAATGAGAAGGCAACGCTCAAAGAAAAGACTGAACCTGGCTGGAAGTTTGTGGGGACCATAGCTTACTTATGACTATAAATCTACCAAAAATGGACTTAATGTATAACTTCTGTTACATAAAAAAGAAACCACAGAACAACACGTGACCACCAAAGAAACCAGCTATATATGACATAGTTAAGAGGCCATCTGCTGATATTTCCTGCCCTTCTTAGGGCCAAGAAAAGCAGTAGATTGACGCTATTTCTAAGATGACTACTACTATCAAGTTCTGACTTCTCAACTCTGGAAATTACCCACAACTGAGCCAAAATGGACTTTCTCTGGGCTACTACTAAGATCTCTTATAAATGAACATTTTGTTAACTGGAATATCAAGACTCGCTCTAATCTAAATCAAATAAATAAATAAATATGTATTATTTGTTTATACCTTATACCCTTGATTCAAGTAGTTTTATTTCCGAAGTTCCAATAAAATAATTACCAAGAACCTTCTGGCACAAATTACCATATTCCATTACTGTTCATCTGCCATTGTGAAATGTAATCAGTCAGTCAGGGGTTGAAATTGTCAGGCTAGTAATCAGAACCAATTTCGTCCAATCAGTTGTTCAATCTTTCATGTCATAAATCTGATTTCTGTTTTTTCTTTTCTTAAGTAGACCCAGATAATTTATGCAATTTGATGTATATAATTCCATTCGGTTTCTTTAATCACAAAGAGGAAGAAAGTTTAAAACCTCACTTTATGACTATATGCTGCTGCTCTATCTAGGCATGAATGTAACTAAACTCTTGTCAAGGATAATAATAAATCTTGCTAAAATAGAAACTTAGTAGTTTGATCTGAAAACTATAGAATTATTCTATCTTTTTTTAATAAAACATCCTTTTCTCTACACTTGATCAAAATATAATCATTTTTATTTAAAGTTTTAGTATTTAATTCAGAATGTTCTTTATTTAACTAACCTATTTTAATCAAATTACAACTGTAACCTACCTCTCAACAACTTTTATGATGACATGCCTTTGCAATATTATGCCCTTAATTTTCAAAGATTTTTTTTTTTTTTTTTTTTTTTTTTTAACAGAAACTGCCTTTTGTAAGAATCTTCCGAGAATAAACCCAAAATAATTCCTTTGTGGTGTTGAAATGATTGTATTTACTTTGCTTCTGCATGCTTCATTTTATACGCTAAGTTACTGCTTTTGTACTATTATTGAATTCAAGTGCTTTTTAGAGATTGATCTGCATTTCAAACATGTTAGGAGTGAATTGAATACAAAGATGCAGAACAAGAAAATCCTCTACTGAAATTAAAAATATTTAAATCAGATTAAAATCTTCAAAATTTGATGTCAATAACTTTTTTTTATTTAATAAAATGAGTTGTGCTCCTAAAATTAAGTCCATTACATTGTGTCTTTTCTCTAAAGAAGGGATTCAAATTCAATTGCTAAAATCTGTGACAGCAAAGTTTAACAAACTGTTTAGCTTGATTTGTAATTAAAAAATGTTAAATTTCCATTCAAATTCATAACGAAAGTCGGTATTTTCCTTTTTTTTTTGGACACTGTTAAAATTGACCCCCCCCCCTTATTGTAATGTGACTAACTTTTTAATACTTTGAAATTTTCCAAATCTCTATTTTAGGAACTAAATGCTGGCAATGGCAATTTTGTTATTGCAACAACAAACAGAGATGAAATTTGTGATGATGAAACCTGGGGTAAGTATTGAAAATCTTTTTACTGTACAAACATCTTTGTGTGCGTGTTGAGTGATTTATTGACAAGTGTTTAGGTAACTTAAGTAAGTGGGGAACAGAACTGAAAAAAAACATAATTGGTGACTGTTTGGAAATTAAAAAACATTCTCATCTACACATTCAGTTAAACAAACAAAAACATCCTCACTTTGAAATATTTAACACTTCTTTTTAGTCATTTACTTGTTTGATTACATTCTGTTGATTTTTTTTTTTTTTTTTTTTTTTTTTTTTTTTATCATTTCTAGTTTTAAATTTTCTTTCAGATGGTGTTGAGAAAGGGGAAACTCTCTATATTCTCAACACTCTTATGCAAGAGTTGTGCGCACCTGCTCAGCAAAGAGTTAATTTTTTACCCCATTATGACACAATTGTCAAAGGTGGCATGTATGAATATTATGCCTCGGAAGGACAAAATCCTTTACGTGAGTATTTTTTTTTCCCCCCATATGTATCATCTACATTGAGTTATGCCTGAGTTTATTTAAAACTCTGCAGTGTTAAATATTCAGATTTGTCATCTGCTAGTGCCTATTTAATGTATAAGTATGCACCTCCTAAAGAGACCTGCCTACTGTTTTATTGATTTTGGTTTGGCTGAATTAGTCAAGTAATTGGTGTAAAATGATTGGTGGATGATTGATAAATTAAATAACTATTCTTTTATTACAAATAACTTGAGAGTATAATTTTAGTGTCAAAATTGTACACCAAATTTCTACCCTCACCCCTTACAATAATTTATGCTGATTTTCTTCAGATTAGTTTTAAGTCATATAGTCTAGTTTAATTGACGAGACAGACAAATGACATTCAGATTTAAAACTCCAAATTTCTTACTACCAAATTGTGAATAAGTCTTCATCAGTTAAGCAAATTGTGAATTTAATCCCTATGTTACATAGCTGGTGTGTGTGGAGAGGGGGGGTCATACAGTAGGTATGATTTTTTTTTTTTTTTTTTTTTTTTTTTTTTTTTTTTTTTTTTTTTTTGCAAAACAATATCCCCTTCATGCTTGGAAAACAGTGATCTAGACAAGTGACCTAATAAGGGCAAATTAAATATCTTTGAGCATGGTCAACAGAATAAGAACCGTTTTTATTCATGGGGTGAATAAAGGGTTAAGGATTCAACTTACCAACTATAACAGACACCTGAAATCTGCTAAACAATGCAGCCTTGTGTGATAACAATCAAGATGGGGAAACTAGTTCAAAGAAATCACTTTATAACCAATTCATCATGCTTGAAGTCATGACTGTTTCGTTGTTTGTGCTGTTATTATTGTTAATCATATATGAAGCTTTATATTTAATTTTGATAATCTTTAATGATGTTGAATGTTTTGAAATGTTGCAAGAGATAAGGTTAGATTTGTGATATGTACAGACAACTTATTTCTGAAAATCTTCATTTAAAACCAATTAGAGCCAACTTTAGTTGGCATTGATTTTATTAATGAAAAATATGGCATCATAGCTTTTTATGCAAAGTTCTTGTCACACTGTTTAGAAATGTTGTACACTTGGCATAATTGTTTATTAAATACTCAATGTTTGTTTTGTTGATCTTGGAAAGACCTTTTATTTGAGGAGGGGGGAAATGCTATCCTCTTTTCCCAAAAAAAAAAAAATGTTTCATTTTGAAAATTTTATTTTGCAGCTTATGCATTTGCAGAGTTGATTGATAATGCCTTAACTGCAACTGCTAACAATACAGGAGAGAGGAGCATTGAAATAAGACTTGTAAGTGTTTTGTTCTTCCTATCTATATGTTGGATGTATTTATTTATTCTACAAAATCATTTCTGTTAATTTTATAGCCAGAAAAAAATGGCAAATTCATGTTTAACTAGAACTTTTGTATTCATATACATTCCATCAGAATCAATCTCCTTTCAATTCAAAAGTTTCATAATTTTTTTTCATAAAGGGCTTGTTTGTTTTTTGGTGTTTTTGTTTTGTTTTTTGTTTTTTTTTTTGTTAGGGGGAAAGAATCTTTTGAAAAGTAGTTTCCAGTTTGTTTTTCAAGACCTCCATCGAAACCTTTCTAAATGATCTAGGCCTCTTCATAGCAGTGTTTAAATACTCTAGTATGTAAACAAATAGATGTCTGATGTATAGTGCTGTGGATTATCCTGATGGGACACCAGACCTTTTTCTAATTGACCAAACTGGGCTTCTTCAAAACAGTATCTAAATATTGTAGCATATGGGCAAATAGATTTCTGCTGTAATTGTAACATTGGTTGGTAGCAAATCAAATTGGACAACACCAATGCAATTCCACCAAACACTTATCCAAAATTTCCTGAGATGAAAATTAATTTTTCTTTGTGCTTTAACATGTTTGCCAATTCAAAACCATTATCTGTATTGCATTATATTCTTGTAAAAAAATTTTTTAGTGCCAGTTCAAAAGCAACAATATATCTTAACAAGGGTGCTGAAAAAAAAATAAGGAAATTTATTTTTCAAATTTAGACACTGATCAAGTTACTGCTGATTACAATGAATGCCTTTTAATTTAGCCTTTTTTTTTTTTTTTTTTTTTTTTTTAACCCTTGTGTGAGTTATAATTATTTCTTCAGCTGTAGTGATAGTATTTCTCTTTTAGTTTACACTGAAACAAGTCATCAATAAAATCAACAAAATAACATGTTTGCAGCATATCTCTTGAATTGACGGTCTTTGATAAATGGCCTCATCAGATTGAGACTTTCATATGATGGATGTCGTATATGGTGCCAAATTGTTCAGAAATATGTAAACTATCAGCTGTGGACAACAGCTTTTCTCAGCTCAATGCTTATAGATGGCTTTGAGTGAATGAAGCCTGTAGTTCTTAGCAGGAACCATTCTTTGAACTTTGTAGGCTGGTGCTACAGGATCACTAACAAAGAGTGGTACCAAATAACAAATGACATCACTTGACAGCTTTCATCAACTGCAACAATTAAAATTGATAGCTCATATAACTGAGAAAATAATTGCATGATCAAGATAGTGACATTCCACACTACTTCATGCAAAAATAATGAAGAAAGCTCCCATCAATACTAGAAAGAGCAATAACAGTGCACTTGAGGAACCTATTATCCTGGAAAATTGTTTTAAGATTTTTATAAATTTCAACAGACAGTAACACTGGTTGTTCAGTCAGTAAATAAGGAAATGGCTAATGTTACCATTTGGCAATTTCTTTTGTTTAAAGAACTGATCTTATAAACACTGTGAATGTTTCTAATTGCTTCTACAGCATTCCTCTCTAAATTCATGTCATTACATGACTTGTGTTCTCTACGCATGTCCACATTTTAGGAGGAGAGTCAAGTGAGTTGAATTATGCAGGGACAACTTGTTTTAAAACTGTATTAGCACCATATATTATCATGTCTTGTTGACAGGAAGACTGAAAATATTCTTCAGTCTTGTAATCATTATTAGATTTCCATCATTACTTGTGGAAAATGACCTGACATGCCATCTTCTAATTGGAAGATAGCTTCTTTCTGTATTGAGTCACTTGAATTTTTTAAAATTTTTTATTCAGTTTCATCTGTTTTGTTTGATTTTCATTTCTTTCATTGAACTCTTCAATTTTTTCAATTGATATTTTCTTTTTCCCACCACTTAATGACTGGTAGTGTTCACTTTTTATCACTGAATAAATCCTAAATACCAGACTTTTCTTTCCTGAAATAATATTTGCTTATTTGCCAAAATTAATTTATCATATATATATATATATATATATATATATATATATAATTTTTTTTTTTTTTTAAGCATTTTGATGAAGGGAATCCCAACAGAAACTGTATTTATGTCATTGACAATGGCAAAGGTATGACTCCACGGCAGCTAAACAATTGGGCAATTTACAGATTGTCTAAATTTATCCGGAATGACAGAAGACGGTAAGCATTTTTAATAACTATTTGCAAAGAACATACGAACTTAAGATTTGATGGTATAAAATATATCAGTTGCAATCTAATCATTAGCATGCATTCTCTGGATTGGGTTTGATTAACTTGGCAAGTATAATGATTCTTTGCATCAAAGTTGGTAGGATTTTTACACTTTTAAGTGTTCTGAATGGAATTAATGATTATTGTAAAATATGTAATCTTGAAACTGAGTTAAGGAAAGCAAAAACTGCCAGATTTGCATTACGCAATGGTAAATCCTCAGAGCTCAAATTTGACATTCAATATTCAGGGCTTATAACTTGAGCTTGACCTCTTAACCTTTTTTTTTTTTTTTTTTTTTTTTTTTTACATTAATGTAAAGGAACTAGTACTTAAATACATCCAGCTGTGAAATGTAAAAATCATTCTCTCAAGATGTTAATTGAGCCAGGTACAGGTTTTAAAGAAAAATGTTGCATAAGCCCTTTTGGTCTTTTTTTTTTTTTTTTTTTTTTTTTTCATCATCATCAAGACTAATTAGAATTTGTTTTCTAACAGCAATTCAAGTGATGTAAGGAATGAACAGCCTGCTGTAAGATATGAACCACCCAGGTCACTGAACAGTGATATCTCCTATTTTGGTGTTGGTGGCAAACAGGCTATTTTTTACATTGGAAATTCTACAAAAGTAAGTTTTTTTTTCTTTTTAAGAAAAATTTTCTGATGTTTCTCACCACTATTAGAATTTTAATTTATACACTATTTTTCTTTTCTCTTGACTTTTAGATGATAACGCGGCCTGCAGGTTCCAAAGATATCCACGAATTGACTATATCAAAAGATGACTTTGAGAAGAAAGAGAAAAACAATGAATCTATTTACAGTGGTTTTATCCGGAACAGAAAGGTAATTTAACTTTTTGTATTTGGATTTTGGGAGAGATTTGTCTTTTTATAAAATTTACAGGTTTCAATAGAACTTTTTTTTTTTTTTTTTATAAAGTAAAACAAAAACTACAAACTGATAATGCTATGTTCTGGCCCCGAGAGTCCGTGTTGTATGCATGCATAATCACTACGGCAACCAGATAAACACTTTAAGGCAATTAAAACTCTGTCCCATACATCAGCAGCTTTATTAAAAACCAAAATGGGTATAACTGGAAAAGGAAGAAAAAATATATATATATATATGACTGAAAATACAGTCAAACAAGAAATAACAAAGGCTTGAATAGAACACTTAAGACTATTTGTCTAAATGAGTAAAGAAATGTAGCAAATACTTTATTTAGATGAATATGTATAAAGTTTGCTACAGAAATACATTTCAATGTTGCAGTAAGTTACAAGGTTACATTTTGCAGCAAAGTATTTGAACAGTTGACTTGTATTGAAAGGATTCTACATAGATACAAACTTTTTTTTTTTTTTTTTTTTTTTTTAAACCAAAAAAATGGCTACTTTAAACAGGTGTTCAAATAACACAGGAATAAAATGGACAAATGTAGAGAGAAAGCTACAAACTGATAATAGTTAACTTTGCGGATGAGATTCAGAGGATAAGACTACCAACCAAGTGATTCATGTAATGCCTTTATTGTCTGGAGTTTCAGTAAAGTGGTGAAAATGGTGACCAATATAAAAAGCATCTAAACTATTAAAAAAAAAAAAGAAACGGAAATAAAACAATCCAGTTTCTGTACTGTTGTAACAGAACATGCTCTGCTTTTGCATGAAGGTAATACTTGTTGGGAGGAGAGAACAAAATTATAGGGGTTTTTGGTTTTTATCAAATTTATTATATTGAAATTTTTTGATGTCTTCATTTTTTTTTTTTTTTTTTTTTTTTTTTTTTTTTATTATTATTACTATTATAATTGAAAAAAAAATGTTGGTACTTGCTTTTCTTAAACAAGTGTAAAACTGGTATGATATTGGTACCATTTTAAAAACTATTTGTGTATTTAGCATAAGGAAACCAAACCAATGACCAACCCACCTGATTGACATGTCACTTTAACTTTTTACTTTAGCATATCAGCATGTAATATCTTCTTCACTGTTACCACAACATTAGCTGCAATTAAGTGGAAGCATTTTTGAGACTTCAGCCTAATGTAAAATCTCACTCATTTGAAGAGGCAGACCTACAGCATTAGGTTTAATCCATGTGCATTCAATTAGTTCAAACCCACTCTGTAAATATTGGCTCGTAAAGCCTCACTGTTTGCATGATTTCCTTCATTAATAGCAATTATGTTGTCATATTGTGGCAGAACATATATGGGTGGGTCACGGCAGGTTGAACATATTAGTATTTATGGGATGGCTTTGAGTGTGTTGAATGCTAAAGGGTTAAGGCACTATTGAATTGTCCTATACATTGGTTAGACAGATGAAGTTATCTGGCAGTCAGGAGTTCAATTTCTTTGTCAACTGGGGTGAAAATGTCCTATTTTGGTTCAATGGAAGATTCCACAGAATTGAGTGGTATGAGATTACAAAAATGAAGGTGAAAAGTTTCTATGACTAAAAATGTGCTTATAACAATGAAGATGAGATTACTATTATGAATAAATCTGTATAATGATATCCTTCCTCTTAGAAATGTTTGAAACCTTGTGACTACACCTTTCCTTTCATTACCTGCATAGTATGTACTTCACTAGGGGTTACATATGGTTATGGATTCATACATTTCCCAAGAGTATTAGTACATAAGTGAAAGTAATGAACTTTACTGGAATTAGAACAACTCTTGGATTCCTCAATCCAAGCTGCTAACCATTAATCTACCATGCCTCCATGAAAGGATCATGGATGTTACAGGTATGATTCCAACTCTTTTTTGTTTTGTTTGCTAGGAATTGATCAACTAACTGAGCTAATATTCTGTCATTGATAGGACAACATTAATCACAAGTCCTCATTTAATTTTCCTTTCACACTTCCTGCAAACAGCCAGATTTTTGTCTTTATAAATTTTTTTATCCTTTACAAATTGTCAAAATTAAACTTTAAACATAGCATATAAGGTGTCAATAGTGTTAAACTCTATTAACATATTATGTAGTGTACACATTTTATTTATAAACTTCTTCCTGTTAACATTTTGTGAATTTTTAATTTTTCGTTTTTTTTTTTCTTCCCTCCCTCACAGCCAGGAGATTTTAGTCATGTGCCTCCAGAAGACGAAATTTTGAGAAAAATAATTGGTGAAGAAGATAATCGTGAGAGCTTTACAGTTGTCGCTATCCATGGTATAAATTCTGGTCACATTCCATATTTGAAGCACAACCTTAGGGACTGGGGCCGTCAACTTGCGTAAGTAATAAAAAAAAAATAAATAAAAAAAAAAAAAAAAAAAGATTATGTATCGAACATGTGGTCTTGTAAAAAGTTTTTTTTTTTTTTTTTAAAAAAAAAAAAAAATTCTCTTTGCTTAACATTCTCGTTCTTCTGCAGAACCACATTTCTGTTGGCATGAGATTGAACAGCATTCACTACCAAACCAATATTACATAATAATTCAGCTTTTTTTTTTTTTTTTTTTTACTTAATTCTTTGGCTACCATTTGGAAGGCACCGTTCACTATTCCAATGCACATTTGTCTTTCATTTTCTGTTCTGGTAAAATACTTTGTGGCAGATATTTTTTAATTTTTGTACTTGCTTGATTTTGGTGTCTCTGATTTGTAGTTTGCATCTTGGGCTGTTCCTTTTGTAGAACACCATACTGTCAGCTGTAAACAACTGCTTTCTCAGATCAAAGAATAAAAAGTGAAGTGTAGATCTTGGTTAGGACTGATCTTTCTCATAGACTGGCATTACAAAATAACCGGATAACAATCCACATCACATCACATGAGGACTTGCAGCAACAACTAAAATGAATAGCACATGTAACTCTGAGAATAATTGACATAATCAAGATGCTGATGTTCCACACTACTTCAAACAAAAAGTTAGGAAGAAAGCGGACCAAGATCAATAGTGTAAAAAGTAATAACAGTGGACTTTAGAAACCTACTTTCCTGAAAAATTATTTTAATAGAAAGATTTTATAAATTTCAACTGATTGAATTGCTGCTTTTAGGGGTGTGGGCGGATTTGTCTTTTTCTTTTTTCTTTTTTTTTTTTTTTTTTTTTTTTTTTTTTTTTTCACATTTTACCCCCTGAAAAAAATTGGGTTATTTACATCAGAGAATATTACTTTTAAATGAAAGAACATGGTATTTGCATTCAGAAAATACCTAGTTTCATGGGAATCGGATCAAGTTTCCTTGATATTTTGTTCAGCTGACAGGTCATTTTTCAATATTTTACCTTGTTTTACAACACCCACCCCACTCTCGCATAAAAGTATGAAAACTGCAAATATCTACTTTAAATGAGAAAAAATGACTAAGCAATTTTTTTTTTTTCTTTTTTCCAGCCATATCTACCATTATTATCTACATGGTCCTAATGGTAATCAAGATCCACCTGCACACGATCAGACCAGAATTATGCGACCAGCTAGTCCTTTCAGACACATCAACATTAATGTAAATAATTGTTTGCTTAATCTTAAAACTTTTTTTCTTTTCACTTTGGAAATTTTTCAACATCACTATTAATTTTCTTTGATATTTTTTTTAAAAATAAATATATAATTTTTGATCCACAAGTTGTTGTTCATGATTTAACTATAAAATGCCAAATGAGTAAGAGAAATGGGTTGTTGTGCACATCATGAGACAGTTGTAGCTGGTAGATGGCACACAAGACAATCCACTCAGTATTGGTTGTCATTGTGGAGAGGGAGTTGAAAGAATTGACGCCTCCCCCTAATGATACTCAGCTGAAAACATCACTGATGTGCATCCACTTATATATTTCACAAAATATATATATATATATATATATATATATATATATAAGTGGAAAAACGTTTTGTGGATTTTTATCCAATATCTTTTTCCACTTTATTAATTTTCCAAATATTGTTCTGGTATATAGACACTTATGTAAAATTTTCTCCATATTTGATCCAATAAATAAACTCCTTTGTATATCACATGGATTTTAATCCATGCCAATCCTCCTTTTGGTCTAAAGAGCCACCTTAGAGGAACCAAGCTCATTTACAAATTGGCAACTAATTTTGTAATGAACAATTAATAGGGCTCCAGTAAAGATATTGCAAACATCTCCTGTATACACACACACTTCTCTTACATGCATAATGAAAAACATTTTCAATAAATTCTGTAATCACTTGTGCTTTTTATAATCTGAATTCCCCCCCCTCTAAGTAGCCTAAACATGTCTTAGACCCTTTGTCTTGCAACTCTTATGACTTATTTTCTAATCTTACTAATTCTTTCTATCTCAGCCTATGATTAATGCTTCTAATTTTCTTTCCCTCCATCTAGATAAGACTATTCAAAGGAATGGCTATGACCAAATGCCTCAATTTACGGGACATTGATGATGACTTGCAGAGTCAGTTTGTCAAAACGGCTGGTTCTGTGTTCGATTTCAAAGCCAAGGTAGAAGGAGCCGGTATTGTTGAGGGTGTTCTCAGATATCATCCATTTCTTTATGATCATGAAACATTCCCATCTGAATTTGTTGACCCTCGATGTAAGTATGAGTTTTTATACAGATAAAATGTCTAAAGCCTAATAACAGAAAATGAGTGAATTTTATTCAACATTATCTCTTTGCTTTTCTAACACTTGGTGAATATTAATTTTATAGGTGGGGACTGAGAATTTTGCATCAAAAAATTGGTTAAGTGTCAGGCTGCAAAAATATTGATTCCTCCTTGTTCAGTTTTCAGCTCTCTGAACATTGTGCTTAAAAAAAAAAATGGGAAGATGGTAATTAAAATTAGCACATGTATTTATAGCCTCAATTAATTTCCTCCAGTACTTAATTGCTGCTTTTTGTAATTTTCCACATAGCCCAAAAACTTTAATCTTGAATTTTCATGCTTTACTTTCACCTAAAATATTTCTGCACACAAGTAATTTCTTTTCTTCTCTTAAATTGGTTCTTGCAACTGTAGAAACTTGTATTTATAAAATAAACTCTTCAAAATCTTGATTGGTGATTTCCCTTAAGCATAAAATGCTAAGAAACTTTCTTTTTTGGTTTGCAGATGCTGAACCAGAAGATGACCATGACTATGCAATCAATGATCGACCAGCACGGGGAAGACGTCCTGTCTTTGAATGTTATTGGAATGGAAGACTTATCCCGTACACCTTGATTGAAGAGTAAGGACATAATTTAAGTAAAAATGTTTGCCCCTTCCCAAAATATTATTCCTTTGACAATATTCTTGCAATTGTGGTGTTCCAGAATGTTCTCATGCAAGGTAGAGAAATCAAAATTGATTGTTCAGTTGGGTTAATTAAAATTCTTGGTTAAAAAAAAAATTTTTTTTTTTTTTTTTTTATGAACAATAGAATTTAACTTTATCTTTATAGTTTGAAAATTTAAAAAATATTCATTTGTTTATTAAAAGAATTGATATTTGACCTTTTTTAGATTTTCAAGTTCAGACATTCCCACAAATTTCTTAAATTTGTTGCAGCGAGGTCTTTACCATTTTAACCCTGCAATTATGTTAAATATACCACTGATGTTTTAGAGCTTCAAATTTCTCATTTTTATTCTTATTTACAGATTTGATTGGTGTAGTGCCCCTAAAAAATCGAAAACTGTCCCTACAGATTGCTACAATCGGTGAGGTTTTAAAGATTATGAATAATTTCCCCTCTGTCAAAACTATTGTTAGATTTTTAAATTTGAGTTTTTATAAATTTCTATTGAATATTATAAATATTTAGTTTTCTAGCATTTACAAAAGAATGTCATTGAAAGCTTAAAAGTAATGCTATTCATGTTCTAAAAACTAAAGCAGCTTTTTCTATCTGTTTTCTATTCATTGAAGTTTGTTTTGCAAATTTTAGTCATACACTTGATTACCTTTTGAAATATTTTTTCCAGTGTCATAATATAAAGAAATAACTACATTTATTAGACTGTAAAACATTGCATTTGATTAAAAATTTAAATGTTCTCAACTGTTATTGAGAAATTAACTTCCCTTGATAATTGATTTTTGTTTTTTCTTTAATTTTATTCTCTTTAGGGTATCTGGTGTGTTGTGGACAAATGATAAATTCCAAGTCAGTACCAACAAGTTGACATTTATTGATCTTGAAATGAAGTTGAAAGAAAAGAGTACGGTTTTTTGTCGGATCATCAATGGCCATGTAAGTGTATCTTCAATATCTTACTCTTCACTACTTTTAATGAGTAAGGTGGGCCCTCGTCCTCTCTTTTTATTTATTTTTTTTTTTTTTTTGTAATGTAAAATACAATTAAGATACTCTTATAAAGCTCGTAAAATTGTTCCAAAATACAAATGTTTTATAAAAATGGAAAGTGTGAAAGCTAACAATTGAACGAATAACCTCAAAAGATATTTTCTGTTTTCATCCTGCTTCTAAATCAGTTCTAGAGATTTTTGCAAAAACTAGGGCAAAAGGTTTAATAATCAATGTTTGTCTTTTTTTTTGTTTTTTTTTTATACCTGTGATATTTGCAATAAATAATTTGTAATTACCCAAGTTAGTGCTATACTTTCTGAGAAACTGATTTTATGACAATATTGCGAAGAATGGCAAAAATTGTAAGTCATGTTTTGGATACTTTAGCTTTTTTTTTTTTTTTTCACAAGATTCATTTGCCCCACTTCCTTGTAAATTTGTTTCAGAGCCAGTAATACTGTAACTTATACTGCCTTTTCCTTTAAAAGGTCTGAATTTTTATACTATGCAATTTTTTTTCAATATTTACAAGAACAGTAATTAGTCATGAATGCTATTCAATTTAAGTAATTCATTTTCTATGGCTTACCAACCCTTTCCAGGCTATTTAAAGCCGAAAATATTTTAAGTTTTTGGGGAAGATAATGATTTAGTGATATGTCTTGCTAATTAACCCATAGCTGAGTGTAAGAAGAGGTGAATATATACTTTTTCTAAGGTTATTTATGCATGTGAATATAATTAACCCACCTTGTATTGGAACTCGGCTCTCCAATTAATGATTCCAAGCCATTATCCATTGCATTACTAACATTCAAGATTACACCACCTGGTATTCCCAAGCAGTCACCCATCTGGGTACTGATCCAGCTCGATATTGCTTAACTTCGATGATTGTACAGGAATCAGTGTTTCAACTTGATATGGCCATAAGCCTTAATAAATACTACAGGGATTTTTGCATATAAGTAATGTAAACATTAAGTACAAAAATTAATTTCTCAATTTCATAAAATTAAATAAGTGTGGGGTAATAGATGTAAAGTTTTTTTTTTACCAAGATTTTCTAAAGAAACCTTTCTAAAAGAATTTCATTTGTGCATAAGTCCTGAAAGTTTCATTAAAATCCAACAATTATTTGATTTTTTGCAATGAATTTCTAAATGTTTTTCACTAGAAAAAAAATGCTAAAATTTCCTATACTAATCTTTGGTCCCACACTGATGCAAGAAAAAAAATTTTTAACATTCTAAAAGAAATAAAATAAAAATAAAAAAAAAAAAAAAAAAATTATAAAATCTTCTCCCCTCTTGATAATAACAAAGATTTTGATACTAAAACTTTGTTTTTTACATTTGGGGCATTTTTTTTCATCATGTACGTGTTTTTTGTTTGTTTTTTTTTATCATGTACGTGTTTTTTTTTTTTTTTTTTTTTTTTTTTTTTTTTTTTGTTTGTTTAGCTAATCTTTGGGAGTATCCAAAAAGAATGACTTCATAGCATGTTTTTTATATAAAATTGGATTTCAGTTTATTGCTATTTCTATGCTCAGCATTGCTTTCATTTCAATAAACAAATGTTTAATGGAACATTGACATCTGGAACCTTGAAAAATATTTTTCTTTTATTCAAGTATTTACATATTAGAGTGATTAATCTCCTTAATCTTTTCTTCATTCTTTTTCTTACAGGAAAAGCGAACTGGTATTGACAAGGAGTTTGTCAATTGGCTGAAAGAATGTCATGAAAAATTTGACAAACAAATTCACTTTTCAGTATTTAAAGGTCATGCACTTCGACCAGATTTACCAAAACATAGACAGACTCCATGGTCCGTCTATGAACAAGTGGAATGGGACGGAAAAATATTCAGGAAAGGGCAGCTGGTAAGTTTCAGGCTTTCTAATTTGAGTAAAGGTTTTGTTTTTTTTTTTGTTTTTTGTTTAGCCTGAAATATGGATGTTAGATGAGATTCTATGTTTTATAGAGGAAAACATAACTATTTCTTCTGCAATCAATCTCCACTTGGATCTGACAGAATGATGGCGACTTCTTGTCTTCAGTTGAGACAGTTAATTTTTATTTTGTTGCTTTTTTTCAATTTATGAAAAGACTGCATAACTGCAAAATAAATTTGCACAGTGGGTTTGCCAAACGGACAATTATGGAGTGTTTTTCTTTTTTTTAAAGCCCCTTTTTAAGTGATTTTTAGCTCGATTATGAAACTAATGTTATTTGTTCTTAAGATGAAGATTAAAACTAAACTTAAACATTTCTAAAAATTATAGGTTTATGCATAGAAACTTGGTTGACATTGAAGAGTCAAAATTCTACATTTAACACATTTAGACCGATTTTCAGCACCCTCTCCCCTTTCAAAAAAAAAAAAAAATAATACGGGTCTAGATCATGATTTTCAAATAAATATGAGAAAAGTTGTTAAAAATTGGTGCCCAGTGTATGATGCCAAAAGCAGGAAAGTATCAATTTAACATGTGAAAGGTTCTGAGTGCATTTTAAATATTTATCCAAGATCAATTTTCTTACATTTTGCAGATTTAATCCATTTTAATATTTGGAAACTGGCACTATGAAATTAAAAAAAAAAAAATTTTCTCTGGATATTTTTTTTTCTTTTTCTTTTCTTAAGCACTTAACCATATTCATAGGGAGGAGGGTATAAGTGACTCAAAAGCAGACAGAATATGGCAAGAAATTGTGTTAATTTTGTGTTGTAGGATATCCATTTGGAATAGGTGTGTGTGTTTGTTTTTTTTTGTTTTTTTTTCCAAGCTGCCAAGTTAAACCTGTCTGTCATTTATAACATTCATTTCAAGAAGATTCCAATGACCTTCCTTGCATAATGTGAAAAAAACTGTCAAGAACTGATCATCTACAAGTTTTGCTTAACTTCAATTGAACATAACATATTTGGAGTTAGGACAAAGACAAGTTCTGATATCCTGAGGCTGTCTACTTTCAGGCCCAGATCTAGCATATCTCTTACAAAAGATTCCAAAACTGCGAAATGTCTGTTTGCAAGCCCACTGTGAATTGCTTATCCTATTTTAATTTTATAGTCTAAAAACTCAGAAATATCTGGAAATGAGAATGATTTCTCATCAACCCATTATAATCCATTTTACTGAAACATGATTACAAATTTTTTTGCATCCTGTTTGGTAATTTCACACTTGGCTTTGTTCATAAATTGATTTTTCAAGCCAAGATGTATTTTTATTATTATTATTATTATTATTATTATCCTTTACTTAACTTAAACCGCATATTTGCTAAATGCTGACTTTAAATTTATAGGTGCGTATCAGCCGCACTCTTCCTACCATCCTTGGCACTATCAAGTGTTTCCTGCTTTATGGAGATCATGAAGGTGAGGTCTATGCTACAGGAGGAGATATTCAACTTATACAGGTAAACACCCACTTTCTCTTGAACTGTTCCTGTTTCTGTTTTTCTTGCAGTAAAATTTGATCAAACATTTTCAAGTTTCATTATGTAGCTTTTTTTCATTTGACAGTTTCCACTTTGATTATGACAATTTTTTTTTTTTTTTTTTTTTAATGCACTGGACACTGTGCCTAAAATATTTGCTCAATACTAATGTGTAAAATTCAGTGTGTAAATTTCTGAGTAGTGAAGACTGTTTTAAGGATCTCATTCTGTATTTAAAATATTTGATCTAAAAGTGACTGAAATGTATTTATCAATTTTGAATTGATACACTGATACATTGATAAGTTTTCAGTTCTAGTGTTTCAAAATTCTTTCAGATATTTTGCTAAGTGCGGTTTTCTTAAATATGCCTTATCTTTTTCCATCCTTTTAGGAGCCACGGTGCTTATATAACGAGGTAAAAGTTCAACCCTTGTTTAAACTGGATCGAACATGTACACCACAACAAGTAAAAAAAGCAATTGAGGAAGAAGAAGCCAAGTAAGTTACAGATTTTGGTTCTTTCTTTCTTTTTTTTTTTTTTTTTTTTTTTTTTTTTTTTTTTTTTTTTTTTTTTATAAATAAAATTGTGTTAGGTCTCGTTTTTGAAGTTCATTAAGAATAAACTTTTTTTTTTTTTTTTTTTTTTTTTTTTTTTAGATTGCCTGATCAGTTAGTGGTATCGTGGCCTGATAATAATGAAGTCAAAGATGGAGAGCGTAGACCTGCTGGAAAAACAATTGGTATATTTCATATTTGGTATTTTTTTCACTTAATAACCGGAAAATTACTATCAATTGAGTCTTTAAAAAAAAAAATTCTTAGATTGTTTAATTTTCCGCTACCCCAACCCCATATAATAGTTATCACATTTAGTGTGTGCTTTTTTATTTTTGATCATGTGGCATTTTCTAGAAACGGTAGTCTCCAAAATGTTGGAGGTAAAATTTTTGACACCAAACTAATCTTCAACTTAGTTAATTAAGCATTCCCATTCATCTTCCTCAATAATAGAATGTTTTTTGCAGAGGCTTTATTGGCTTGTAACTCTAGCCAATGATCTTCTGTAGATTCTGATTGGTAACATTCAAAGATTTTGGTGAATTTTTCCTTGCTGCAACAACACTGGAATAAGATGTCACCAGTTTCTTTGTCTAGCACTGAAAAAGTATCGTTGCTTGTTGTGCAGCCCCCCTCCCACTTTTGGTGTGTGTGGGGGGGTATATACTCACTCTCTCATATATATATATATATATATATATATATATATATATATAGTAACCAGACAAAAATGATGCCCTGCTCTTTAGTTAAAATGGAAAAAAGAAGGGACAATCTTTATATTCTGAACAGTCCAAGAACAAAAAGAAATACTGCTCTGTATACTGCATTTTTAAAATAAATCTCTCACAGTTTAATGGTTGGGGTAGGATCTACAATTTGAAATAAGAGATCAGGAGCAAAATGTTTTTATGTTGAACTGTGAATTTTTTTTTTTCTTCTGTTCCTCCCTTTACAACTAGGGAAATCTGCAGAGCATTAGAGGTTGTAAATTGCGTAAACTTTCTCTTGTTTTATTTAAATGAGTATTTTAGTTTTCGATTTTGACCATTAAGTCGGGGAGTTTTGCTAAACAAGTTATTGAAAACTTTTTATTTGACTTACCCAAAGAGCAATGAGAAAAAGTTTCATTTCTGTAGATTGCAAATTGAAAAGTAAAGATAGGGGACAAAAAGCTGACTGGTTTTTGTTAATCCTTCTTTAGTGTTTATTGAGGACTTAAAAGGAGTGTGCACAGCAACTAAAATAATGAAAGTATTGGACAACATATATTAGGTCTTTACAGCCATCCCTCTGCAAACATGAGTAGCTTTTAGGTCTGAATGTTATTTGCTTGTGATATGTTTATATACATATATTTTTAATGTCTATATCTTGTCTTCATTAATTTACCTTATTTTAGCTGCTGTGTATGCTCATTGTAGAAACATTTAGACATAAATCAAGGACTTTGATATGCTGTCAAGGCAACAGCATCTAATTGAGATTTATTAATCCTAATAGATAACACAAGGTCAGATATAGTATTGGTAATATTAGCCGGTTCCCTACAAGAAAACATTTGGCATTTGTTGACAGAGCAGCCATTACTGTTTTCAGTTGAAATTATATCTTTCTCTTAAAACACTTTAATAAAACTGCTTTCTCAAGTCCAGTAGCTGTTAATGATCTTTCTAGTATTGATGGAAGTTTCCTTCCTAACCTATTTGAAGTGGTATGAAATGTTAACCTTCTGATTGTCATTATTTTCTCTTAGAGTGACATGTGCTATCCATTTTAGTTGTTGTTGCTGCTGATGTTGGTAGTCCCCAAGTGATGTGGTTTCTATTATTTAGTACAATTCTTTGTTTGTGGTTCTGTCACCAGTCCACAATGTTCATAAAAAGGATGATCTTTGCCAAGACCCTCAGTCTTTACTCCCTCAAACCATTTCTTCACCATTGATCTTGGCAAGCAGTTATATACAACTGACAAGGGTTATGGGCAGCAAGAATGTGTTGCAACAATCTTCTAAATGGTGAGAGCCTGCCTGCCTTGAAAATCAGCACTGTAAATCCTGGAATGTTACCTGGGCTTGATTCCTTAATTTCTAATGCCACTAGCCTCAGTTGCATCAAATTTTTATATTAATTATACCTCCTGACTTGACATTTAATTGAAAACTAATTTGACAGATGGATTTTAATTGTTGCTATATTCATTTCAAGTATTTGTTCTACTGTGCAGGAAATTATGAAATGCTAAATGTGTTTTTTTTTTTTTTTTTTTTTTTTCTTTCTTTCTTTCTTTCCCTCCTCCCTCAGGTGACATCAAAGTGGAAATTATCAACAAGAAAGGAGAAACCATCAAACAATTGCCTGGTACAGCCCCAGCACACAAGAAACTTCTGGTGGAGCTAAAAATTATCTGGCACTGTAAGTGGGACTGTTAATAAAAAAAAAATTTTTACCAATTAGAAATTAAGAGATGATTTAGGAAGTCTTTGCTGTAAATTACATTTATCAAATAGTTTCAGAACAATTGTTCACCGTTTCCTTAAGATATTCTATTTTTTTAACAATAGCAATATTGTTGATTTGGCCAAAGTGTCTATAAGCAAAGTAATTACACAACTTTGTTACTATTTATGATGACTGATGTTTGTGGGTGATATCCTTCTGTTAGGATAATTTTGCTATTGTATATTCTGTTGTCTTCAGTCTTCATTGGTTATTCTGTTATGACCTAAGCAGTTTAGCAACTTTACTATTCAGTAAGCTTATTTAGAGCCTAATACCGCCACCTTTCCCTATGTAAATAGCTGAAAAAAATGGCTACTACAATAAATATAAATTTATTAATTTACTAACCTTTGTTTTTGTTCTTGATAATATCAAGCTTAAAGATCTATATTGAGATGTTGATTTTGGTCATAAAACAGTTTTTGTTTTTTTTTTTTTCTTCCTTCTGCTCATATTTGTAATGTTTTATCTGATCTCAAGAAAGCTGTAGAGTGAAGTAGCAGAAATGTGATGAAAATAAAAATAATGAATGTAGATTTTTAAAAAAATTACATTTAATGTTAACAAATGAGCAATAGTAAAAAAAAAAAAAACATGGTTTTGATGTATTTTGCTTAGCCTCCCCACTCCTCTTCATTTAACAATTTAAAATTTGCAACATTAACTGGTTGATATTGTTTTCAGCTTCTAATGGTGATGAAATCATTGTATCTCACATTAGCCAGCACGGCAAAAATTGGCCATATTGGTTCAGGAAAATGGGTGAGTGAGAAAAACATTTGATCTTTGGACGGGATATAATCATTTATATACCATAATATATTTAGTCATAAAATGACTCATCTTCAAAGATGACAATATTAAAGGTTTCTTAAAATGTTTTAATTTTTTGCCCCCCTCTTAAATCTGGTGTTGTGAATTGTTTGTGTTTTGAATCTTTTCTAAACAAAAATAAAAGATAACTTCTTTTCATAATTGCAAGTTATTAAAAAATAAATTGAAATAATTGTGATCTATTTCCCTTTCAGAGAATATCAAAAACTTGGGCCACCATTCTCTTGAACTTCAAGTTGTCCTTAATGAAAGTGGTGCCACAACATTTGCTGGCAAAGATTTACCCTCTCACTGCATCAAGTTTTTTGTTACCGGTAAGTCAATTTAATTATTTAACACTTGATTCAATTGAATTTGCCTGGATTGTTTAACAATTTTCTCATATTTCTTATCTATATACTTGCATACATATGACATCTTCATTGCATTATTTCCAAATATATTAGCATTTATATTTATAATGCACATTTAATTTTAACATTTTACTTTTTGGGTGTTTATAAAATAAATAAAATAATTTACACTTTCATATTTGTAGAAGCTGAACCCAAAAAATTTACCGTTGGCTTATTGGATGGTCCATTTCGAGTGGGTGTGCCCTTCCAAATACCTCTTGAGTTTCAAGATGAATTCAATCATATTACAGAACCAAATATGAATTGTAAGCCAGTTCTGGAAGCAAGGTAAAACTATCATCAAATTTACAACAGAGCAATAATAATAAATGTAAAAAATTCTGACATGTTAACCATCATTTGGTGCTGCATCTAACTTCTGGATTACTCATGTTGACTCGTTCCTTTAAACATAATTCCTCTCATCATATATTTCTTGATATTTTTTGTATCCAAGCGTAAACAAAGCAAACTTCTAAAAGTAATGGATTTTTATTAATCTGGCTCATTTTATCGTTGTAAATGTTATTTTTAGTGGATACTCTTATTTGGGTAGACGATGTGTTTATTTATTAAGCAGTATATTTTATCTATTTTCATCTCCTGACCTGAATATTTGAGAAATCTTAAGGAAAAATATGTGCGCTTTGGCAGAAAATGGATAATTTATCCACTAAAAATAATGTTATAAAAATCTGTTGGGTTAATAAATAAAAAATCTATTACTTTAGAAAATTGCTTTGTGAAGCTGAGCAGATATGAAAAATTTGAAGAAGCCCATGATGAGAGGAATTTCACTGAAAAAGAAAAACATGCGCACACACATACACGTGTGTGTGCGCGCGCATCTCTATCCCCCAACTCCTCTCTCCTTTGAAATTACACAACTATAGGTAGAAATTTTAACTTGTATCCTATCAGTTTTTGTGTAACCATTACCAGGTCTGCCTGTACCATCCTAAAAAAAAATTGCAATATTTCAGTAATTCTGTAATTGCATTTTACTTAGGTTCAAAACCTTTATATTGATCAGCAATATTTTTTTTTTTTTTTTTTTTTTAATTCATGAATACCAAACAACATTCTATTGGCTTACAGCCACATCACATTGAAACACCAATTCCCATATGGTCACTGAAGTTAAGTAACATCAAGCCTGGTCAGTATTTAGATGACCGCTTGAGAATAACGGTTGCTTTAAGCTTGGGTGTGCAGATAAGGTAATGGATAATGACTCAGGATTGTTAATCAGAGCTGAGTTCCACTTCCAGCTGGGTTCTTATATTTATGCACAAATATCCTTTAGGAAAGTATGACTCCACCTCTTCTCCCCCTCCTCCCAGCTATAGGTTAATTAGTAAAACTTTCATCACTAAAACCATTATTATCTTAACAAAAATTGTATAGGAAATATTTAGATTTTGGCATTAAATAACCCATAAATATCCACAACCAACCTGAACATTCTATTAAACATTTTAATGTTTGTTAAACTTAAGAAATAAAATTTCATAAGTTTAAAAAAAAAAATTCCTACTTCATCACAAAACGGATGTGAACGATAGCAATCTCTATATAGCGGATTCTTATGATTTAAAACTTCTACATGTATTCTGCATTTACTACTTGTAGATTTCTATAGATATCTCCAGTGTAATATTTTTATTTATAATCTGTGATGACTGTATATTCATGAATATTTTATATTTTGCAGTGGTTTGGATATCACTTATGAAAGTCTTCAAATAAAAGGCAACCATTTACTAATAAAAGGAATCTGTGCCCAAGGCATTGTCAACTGCACTACAGGAAAGGTAATGGGTCTTTACTTTACCAAATCTATATGCTATAATTAATAGATGATGATGATTATTATTATTAATGGTATTATTATTATTAGAAGATTCCATTGGTATGGTATTAGTGGAATTATTGGTAGTAGATTCCATGGCTTCCAAATATAGTTTACTTTGTTTTATTTCCATATATATATATATATAATTTGTATTTTGTTGTCAATAATTTAATCACAAAATATAAATTACGGTAAAATATATTTGAAAGAGATATATGAAATAAGATCAGTTTAGAAATAAAACTTTCAGTCACAAAAAGTAGGAAATCTGATTTTGAACAGCATGGAACCACCTCTTCATTGCTGTTGTTCCCAGGTCCACTCTGACCTGGAGTAGTAGCACCTGTTAGGGTCACGGTTATAAGCAAATAGTACCCCCCACACAAACGCCCAAAACAAACCCTGTCAAAGTATAAAAATTACTAACAATGCATATTTATAGTAGTTATCAGCAATACCTTTTTATAGCAAAATAATGGACAGTACAGTTTATTGGGCATTGAAGGCATACAATTATATTAAAAAATATATTTGTTGAAGCCATAAAATTGTCCAAAATATTTCAATTTTGGAATTAATCCATAGAAGTTGATATGCCTCTAGAAATCAACCACCCAACACAAAAGAACTTTCATGATGTTAATCCATATAATATCCTTTTTTTTTTTTTTTTTTTTTTTTTTAATTTTAAGCTATCTTCCAAAATATAGCTTGACCAAAACTATAACATAAAACACACATCATTGGCTCTAGTAATTATCTCCACACAAACATGTATACATGCAAAAGCTGAGCATCATCTACCATGTATTAAGTTGTTAAAGTAGAATAACATATATCATGTTTTTATTAATACTTCAAAGCTCCCAAGAAAATTAAATTTCAGCATTAAATGTGACCCATGAGGAGTTGATATCATTAAACAATCAAATCAATCACAAAACTGTTTCTCTGAGCATACACACATATAGTTTAATTTTTGTTTGAATTTGAGATGAATTCTAATTCTATACTTATTTAGGGAGTCTAGTGTCATCATCATAATTGTTAATGTTACAATATTTAGACTGTTGTCTCATTTGTCAAATCAAACCTTTTTAAAGCAACTTAAAGAAGTCGAGATTAAGTTATTTGGTTTGTACAATGTTGATTTCCTTTTTTTTTTTCTTTTTTTTTTTTTTTTTTTTTTTTTTTTTTTTATAGAACTTCAACTTAACAGTAAAAGTGGAAGAATTGGAAGAAAAGCAGACTTTGAAGATTCGATTACTGCCAGGTAATTTTTTTTTTTTTTTTTTTTTTTTTTTTTTTTCTCAATTTTGTAGTGAGAGATGAATAATAATTTGGTTTTTGGTTTTAAAACTGAAAATTGCCTGAAATGTCTGCAAGATTTTATTTATTTAGTGGTGAACATTTTGCTTAGTGGAGGGAGGATGAAAAATTTCAGTGCCACCAAGAATTTTCTCTCTCCTCCACTACCCAGCCCCATTTGATCAAATTTTGAGAAGTTGGCCCAAGCAAGAACTTTCAGCTCCCACTTGTATCTGTTTCTATCTCCCTTATACACACTCCTCTCTCTCGTGTGTGTATGTGTGCATATATATTATGAATATGTAATGAATATATGTTTTTATAAAGGCTATTAACATTTTGTCTTTAGGTCCTCCACATCATCTTTGTGTAAAGCCCGAGAGGGACCTGGAGTTAGAAAATGGTTCTGCTCCCATGTTTAATGTTGAAGTTCTTGATGTAGCAGGCAATGTAACTACTGAAAATAAATTGTTAGTTACTTGCAAAGTAAGTATTTTTTTTATTTTTTTATGATAAAGAAAGTATAAATTAAAACTTTTAAATAAACTTTAATAATTTTTAACTTTATGCTTAAAAGAAAAAAACTAAAATGATTTTTTTTTTTCTCTCAGTAAATAAGTCTAAAAAATGATGTCGCAAATGAAATTGCTTAAAATAGTTTTACATTATATACAGCAATAACTGACAAATTTTGATATCACAATTATAAGTTTGTATTTAAAATGCTTTATGTAGATATTTTTAAAAATTGCACATTTACTCTCTTTTCATATTAAAATGTAATTTGATACTTAAGTATATTAGGAATAAAAATAAATTATTCGGGTTGTGTTAAATTACTTATTTTGCTATTGATAAATCAAATCCCTTTATGCCAATCATTTAACACGTTGATAGCTATAGCCTTTTAAATGTCATTTAATTTTTTTCTTTCCAGTTCTTTGGCACATCTGGCCTGCCAGCCTATTTCCTTGACTGCTCAAGTAGTGGAATGGGAACACTAACTGGAGATGCTCTCTGTATGAAGAAAGTGAAATCTAATCAAGAAATTGTGGCAAAAATAGAACTCCAGGTAGGGTTTTTTTTTTTTTTCTCTCTCTCTCTCTCTCTTATTTATATATATATATATATATATATATATATATTTATATATGGGGGAATTTTATAAGCATTAAAAATCGCAAGGGACTTATTAAGCCATTAACTTAAGAATTATAATTCCTCTGAAATTTTGTTTGTTGCTAGTTATTATTATACTACAGGCTTTGATATAAATAAGACATTGTTTTTTATTATTAACTTATTTTATTAGTGATTAATCTTAATTTTTGTTGTGTTTATTTTCTACCTGGATGCCATCCGTAGAACTTCAAAGATGTGAAATCATTGGAGCGGAAGATCAATGTTATTCCAAGTGGGAAGACTGCTAGCATTGAACTTTCTTATACTGTAGAAGGTGAAGAAAAAGTTGTACACCTGAAAAATTCTCAGGAGGTGGTTGGAATAGCAGGAGAATTTATTCAGGGGCTTGGTAAGTAAATTTTCTTTCTCTCTCTCGTTAGAAGAATACAGAATTTTCTCTCAAACATTTGATATAAATCAAACCTAGATTTATTTGCCTTTTTATTGGTTTGTGAGTGTCCAGTTTTAGGAACATCACAAACTCTAAATCAATTGGCTAGTTATTAAGAAATTTTGACTACTTTGAAATTGAATGACCTGACTTGTGTGTGTGTGTGTGTGTGTATATATATATATATATATATATATATATATAGTGCCAACTCCAGGGGTCGTCAGGATCAGCCTGAAAATCAACATTCAAGTATATCTTATTTCAAAGCAACAAAAATCTTTCATAGTGTACCATTTTCATTAACTTCAGCTAGTTCCAAAATTGTTTTAACTCCATGCTTTAAGATATTGACCGAAATACATTTCATTGATTTTATTTATAATAAAGAAAAAAAAACTAAGTTAAAAAAAAAAATGAAATAAAATTAGCATGGCTAGTTGGGCTGTGTGGATCTGAGCCCTTTCAAGCTGGAGACATACTTAAGAGGCAATGTACTTCTTGCTTTAATAAATCTTTTAAAAATCTCTAATTACTTGTATGCCCTGTTTTTTCAAAGAACACATTTATTTAAACTTAATTTTCAAATGTCCATTTTAAATAATTTATTCTGTACAGTTTTTTAGTGGAATATATTGATTGAAAAAGGACAAATTAAATTTAGCCCCAGTTAGTTGGAGAAAAACAAAAATTGACAGCCTCAACTCGTTGACCGTGGGTTTGGGGTGAGGAGTGTGACTGGGGTAGTGTTGAGGAAATATCAATCACCAGTACTGAACATAAATGTACAATAAATCAAACTAAAAAAAATTCAGAGATGCATAAACATACTAACATATAGGCACACACTCAAGATTTATACACATTTTACATCTCTGGAAAAATTGTTTAAAATAGATATTTTAATACAATTATTATAATTAATATTAAAATACCCAAATGTTTGTTTTTTGTTGTTTTTTTTTTTTTTTTTTTTTTTTTTTTTTTTTTTTTTTTCATGCACAGATTTTTAAAAATGATATATTTTAGTTAGTGAAGGAATCATTTTAGTATACCAATAGTATATTTTGTAAAAGATTGTAATGAGGCCAACAAACTTTGATGACCTAGTCTCTCATACAACACAAACAGGGTTATTCAAAAAGAATGAACCAACTTCATTATGCAATATTTTAATAAGGGAAAGCAGGATAGTCTGTCCACAAGCATTCTACATACAGTCAACTTTTATTTCCTGTCTTGCAACTGTTCGTTGTGGCTACCACCTGCGTGCAGGCAACATCAATGTGATAAGAGAATTCCTCCCAGATGCATATCAGAATATCATGATCCACCGAGTCGATCGCTGTTGTTATTCAAGGTTTCAGGTCATCAAGGTTAGTGGGGTAGCAGTGGAACATAAACGCGATCTTTTACATATCCCCACAAGAAAAAAAATCACACACAGTGAGGTCTGGGGATCTCATAGGCTAAGCGCAAGGTCTTGATAAGTGCCTGAACAAAGTCTACTCTGTAAGGTTTCAAATGTAGACGTCTTCTTAGCACATGCCAGATAGTGGATTGAGTGATCACAAGCTCATGGCTAGGTTGATTTGTGGACTCCCACACACACAGCACAAATTCTTGCCACCTTGTTCTTCCAAAACTCATGGTCACCCTGGACTTTTCCTTTACACAGACACCAACTCTCTTGAAACTGTTTAACTCACCATCGAATGTTCTTAAGAGAAGGCTGAGCAATGTTGAATTGCCTTAGAAAAGCAAGTTGCACCATGACGACCATATTTGTTTTCACAAACTCAAACACAGAACTCCTTTTGCTGGGGACTTGCCATTCCAGGAGTAAACAAACTGAACATTGCCAGAGATATGACACAACTTTTGACGCCTGTTTTACCATTCAAAAAAAAAAAAATCTTCTTTCAAATGGTCACTGACTCCTTCCATGAAAAATGCTTGAAAACTGAATCAATGCATGATAAAATCTGTTCATTCTTTTTTTATAACTGTGTGAGATATATATATATATATATATATATATATATATCTTAATTTTAACTAATAACTTTTTTTTTTTTTTTTTCCTTTCTAGCTTTTAATCTTTTGGATGAGGCTGGTCGAGATATTACAATTGACGAAAAGATTTGCTCAAAAGTAAAGGTAAATTGAATTTAGCCATTTATTTTTTTTATTTTTTAAATGAAGCCATGGAAAATGTTAGCCAATAACATTTTTATAAATTTGTACTTTTTGGTCTAATTTCCCACATTTATACTATTAAAACTAAATGAATAAAATAAAAAAACTGAAATCAAATTAGCATATTTTTATGCATTGTATTTATTTTGTGTCTTATTAAAATATTAAGAGATAACCCTTGCCCTCCAACATATGCACAAACACAGATTTTAAATCCTGTATATGGGAGTTATAAGGGCAAACTCACAGCATACCTTTGTATGCATTATCGGTTTTTGTTTTGTTTTTTTTTATTATTGTTTTTACTTTTCTCCCTTTGTAGGTGAATTGGACCCCCAAACTAAGTAAGGAATTACTTCTCCAAAAGAAATTGCCTGATATTAAAGTGCCAACATCAACAACAGATCAGAAATATTGTCATGTCAGCATATTGGATGGTTCTGACACCCACTTTAACTTTACTGTCAAGTGAGTATTTTCTGATTCACATTTTGTCTCTCTCACTCCCCATTCTCATAATACCTTATTCCCCCTCATAAACTCTCTCTTTCAAATTTCTGAGTCCTGGATTACACAACTTGTATAGACATTTAAATAAAAAGATTTATTTTCTAAATTTTAACAGTTGATTACTTCACACTAAAAATTGCTTTTTTATACTTTTAATAAGCAGTAGTTCTAATGCTTTTTTCTTTTCTCTCTCTCAGGGCTAAACCAGGAAAGCCTTCACAGCTGAAGTGTAAGGTGAAAGGAAACAGTACCATCCGAATTAATGAAGCATTAACCTCGGAAATCCAAATCGGCATTAAAGACAAAAGTGGTAATGAAATAACAGCAGAGGTATGTTGTTCTCGTTTTCCTCTCTTTTTGCTTTCCTCTTTCCATTCCCTTACTCTGCTCCTTCTGCTCCTACCCTTCCTCTTCATTTATATGTACTTTGAATATTCTTTCATCTACTTGGGATCCATTTTCTTCATTGTCTTCCTTTCCAAAAACAAAATAGAATAGTTTTGTTCTGTGCATTGACCAATTTTCTTTCTCTTTGATAACCTGGTGGCGTAAAATGACAACAAGCTCATTGATGTGAATAATAAGCATGTAAAGAAAATCTTGTATTTGTGGGGGTGGGAGACAGCCCTAAAGTTTAAATATAATTTTTTTTTTTTTTTTTTTTTTTCTTCTTAAAGCTTGGACCCTCAGCCTTAAATGACCTTGAAATTAGTGGTGATGGCTTGATTGAAAGCAAAATCCATAAGTATACAGGCCAGGTAAGCTTTGCTCATCTAGTGTTTTATATATATATATATATATATATATATATATACACACACACACACACTATTATATACAAGATACAGTACATGTCATATCTCTTTAATTTGGTAACCTTAAGGCATGGCTATTGTTGAACACAAAAATGAATGTCTGAATGGTGTGATGAGGTGGTAAATGGAACCCTAAGGTGGCTTGACAGTTAAATATAGAGGCCCACTTTTATGGTACTTGTGAAGAGAAGAAATATAGATGAAAAAAAAAAAAACAAGATAATTAGTTTTCCAAGATGAAATAAGTGATTCTTAAGGAATAAAGACATATTTGCCAGTGGTTTTCTAAGGAGAATACTATTTGGCAATTGGAACTCTTGTCATGTGGTGAGCTGGCCATGTGCTTTCCAAAATAAGACCCTTAACATAAGTAATTAGTTCTTCATTGGTACCATTCAGGAAGATGAATTCCATTATATACAAGTGCATGGCACACTTTAAAGAGTTCTGTAATGGCCAACTGAAAAGATGTGCAAGATGCAGCAAGCTATTTCTATAAGAAAAAAAAAAAATTTGTATATATTATGAAATTTTTATCATGAGTGTTTGAGTAGGAACCTGTGGTATGTATTGTATTGAACAGTGATGGATGAGCTCTGTGTGGTGAATGAGTAAATTGTAATGAATGACTAGGTCGCAAATTGGATTAGCTAGATATAGGATAGTCGGTGATGACCAGCCTCACCCCACATCCCCTTCAGTCTTGTGCCACAATTTTATTTAAAGTACAATATATACAGTCATAAATGAAACGTATATGGTTCAGGCTACTGGAGTCTTAAAAATGAAGATTCTATCTAACAGCTAAAACTTGTTTTGATAAAATCTTAAAGCATATCAGTTTGTTTTTGTTTTTTTTCAATATGACATAGCCATAATACGACATATTCCAGTCTCCGGCCTGGTCACAGCACCAAATATGGCAGTGTCCCTCGTCCAGTCCGCTTCGGTCACCAGTTATGGCGGTACTCAGGGTCAATCCCGGTCTGCTTGCTTGGTCAGGATCGATCCTGGTATCAGAACAGGCCGCCAGCCCGCTCATCAGTCATTGATGGCATATGACACAGCAGCTGGTCTCTAAGTTGATAGCTTCAACTGTGACCTCTCTTACTCACGTGATTTTGATCTTAGGAGAGTTAAGCCAAATTTCCACTGGGGTATCTTAACCATGCTAAACCAAGGAGTTGAACACGTGCATACAAAATTGAAAAATAAAATGGGCGACGCCCAAATAAATCACGATATGTTTATATCAGAATAAAAAAAAAAAAATGTTCTTTTCCTTCTTTTCCCAACCCGTTCTAATAACTGGCGACGGAATGAAAATTACAGGTAGCTTCTTTGAAGAGTGGCCAGACTTGACAACTGGATATATCTTCAAGTACTGTGATTAGTACTTTCATGGACAGGTGTTAAGGACAACCATCCAAGTTTTTCTTCTTCAGCAGATAATTATTATTCTTATCATTAGGTTGGCAAACAGCGTTATGTAAAATCTTTCTCCACCTCACTGCAACTGGCTGGCCCCAACTCCTTTGACTGCAACTCCAGTGCCAACTAACTCCAACTGGCTGGCCCACAACTAACTTTGGCCCACGTAGGCACTTGTATTTATGGGTGTCCCTTTCAACTGGTGTAGTGCGGGCAAATAGGTGGGTTTTATGCAAATCTTTCAAAATTCAACCAGTCGTCTTCTATTTCACATTTCCAATTTTGGATGATCCCCTCCTCCTTCAGGAGGAGACATCATATGATGTCAGCCTTTACAATTGCTCACAATTATAATTTTTTTCTTGGGGAAATTTCATCAGCTAAAATTTCCCACTGACACCTTTCAGCAGATGACTTTAACCTCTGGCCCCTGACCTGCCAGCTGTGTCGAGCTGAATCACGTTGTGTAACTTTTCCATCAAAATTCATACATCTGTTTCCATATCCTGGGAAAATAATTCTCTTTCTGACAAAAAACTAATCATTTTGTTTTAACCCTTTTCATCCATATGCCATGTTAAATATTGTCACAATAAGCCCATTTGCCAAGCAACAAATGCTTTCAATAATTGTCAAATGTTTTATTATTTTGTCTTTTTATTATTGTGTTTACATCATCATAATTTTCTTTTGTTGCAGGTGTGTACCTTCTGTATAAAAGGTGTGATGTTTGAAGATGGTCAGACAGGTTCCAAAGAGCTGATCGTGCAGTGGAGACATCTGAGAGATTATGTCCGACTCGAAGTAGTGTCAGGACCACCTGCTCAGCTAAAGATCCCAAATTGGGATTTGGATGAGGTAAGAAATCTAAAAATCGCTCTAAGAGACTCTTACAAGTCATGGTTTTCTGCTAAACTAAATCTTATTCACTCTTGATTTGACAATAAAAAGAACTTTATTTCTATTCATTGCTGGTTTTATTTCTTTAAAACTCTGAAAATATGACGGTTAATATTAATCCATGTAGTGAACTAGATATGAGATTATAAAAACATTTTGAAATCTCTATAGAAAAACTTTCATGATTGTACTTCTTCAGGCAATGTTAAGTAACTGGTGATTAAATGATTTTTAAGGAAAATTAAAAACAGTGTTACCTCTTTTCTGAAAGTTAGAAGTCCGAATTAAAAATAGACTTGTGGGTATGTCTTGATTAACCAATTAAATGTCAGCTCTACACTACATAGAAAAGTAAGCTCAGAGGGTGGAGGTGGGTGAATTATTTTTACATGTCACAATAAACCAACACATAGACACAGCATTATTGATTATTGCAGGAAATATGGCAGTGACAAATGTATCGTGATTTATTTTTCATCACTTTTTTTTTTTTTTTTTCTTTTCTTTTTTTTTCTTCCCAGCCTCTTATCATGTATGATGGTGGGAAAACAAACCAGAACCTGGTTGTGATGTTGTGTGATGATACTGGGAACCAATGCAAAGAAAAAGATGTCAAGATACTGTTGGGGAGAGATCAGAAAATCAAGGTAAATGAAACTTTCAAGGTTGTCTTATGAAAATTGCACTGAAGCTTGAAACTGAGGAATTAACACTGCATGGCAACTGTTCACACTCTCAGTGAACTCTATAAATGTTCAATCTCTGATATTGACCCTCATCCCTTATAAATTTTAAACACACACATACATATATATATATATATATATATATATATATATATATATATATATATATATTATAAACTAATTGATTTAAAATGTTTTTTTTTTTTTTTTTTTTTTTTACACAAGTTTTAACCATGTTTCAAAAATGGAAGCTAAAAGCCACGAATTTAATTTTGTGATTAAAATTCGCTTGAGGATGAAATGGAACTAATGTCTTTAATTTAATCACAAAATTAAATTCGTGGATTTATTATTTTTAGCTTCCATTTTTTGAAACATGGTTAGAACTGTGTAAAGGAAAAAAACATATTCCAAATCAATTAATTTATAATATTAATGCTCTGTAAATTTACATTGAGCACTATTTTGTAAAAATAAAAATATCTATAAGAACGGCGGATTATATATCTTGCCGTTCTTTCTTTATATATATATATATATATATTGTACAGATCCTGAAAAGCCCTGGAAAAAAAGCAATAGCCCAAAAGCTCCTTGAAAAATCCCAGAAATTTGCTGTTTCTTTTTTTTTAGCAAAATCTTTTTTAGTTGTCAGCAATATCTGGCAATTATTGCAAATGATGGTTTGTTTCCGTGATTAGAACAAGTTCATGACCTTGTAGTTATTTCTGTATTTTCTCATCTAGGTGATGAGAAAGAACATGAAGGCATGTCTTATAGCTGCTACTCTCATCCAAAGACAAAAGGAATCGGAGACAAGTAAACATCTCCAAAGATAAATAAATTCACACTCATTAAATTTGTATTGAAAGGAAAATAATTCATCATTTTACACTAATAAAATACATTTTAGTAGAATCTCAAAAATTTATCAGTGGTTTTTAAAATTTGAACAATTAAAGAAATTTTATTGACATGTCAATTTCAAAAGTAAAAAGTACTCTTGATCTCTAATCAGTGGTGAGTAAGTTCATGCTGAAAAATAAATACTTTACGCATCTTGTGTCAATGTTTATCTATGTGTAAAATACATTTGTCTAGATTGTTGCCAAAATAACCAGTTTGAGAATCAAATTTGACTCAAAGAAAATGTAGACGGGAAGGATGATAGAATAGAAAATGTGACTTTGATGTATCTTAAAATAGATTAGAAAATGCATCTTTGAAAAAATGAGAAGTATGTTTTTAAAATTTACAGGCTAATAATGACTTGTAACTCTAGCTTTTGTTATGTGAAAAAAAGATGAAAACTATTAAATCTTATTTGTCTTTTATTGCTTAGCTTTATATTAAAAATTCAATCTGGCAACCTTGTCCCTTTACTTTTGTATTTCTACATGTCAACAACTCCTAGACACTTGGCCAAATGTCATCAAATTTGTAAACTTGATTAAATAAATAAAAAAAACAAAGTCCTCTGCTGTGCTGTCCAACATGAATGATGTTTTATTTCCAGATTTTTGTGTCTGTTTCAAGTCATTGATCTGTTTCTGATAAAATAAAACAAACCATTGCTTCTTTTCCTTGTAGATGATCTTTTTAGCATGAAAAAGCACACTAAAAAGATAACTACATTTTCTAAATTGAATGAAGTTGTGAGAATTTTGTCAAACCTAAATATGCATAAAGATACTGCAAAGATCACGTGTTTATTTCTGACAGGGCTATGCAAAATTTATCTGAAAAAAGGAAATGTCAACAAAAGATCTGTTTGTCTACAGAATTGTTGCAAATGCAATGTTCATCACCATTATTGAGAAACTTTTGGCAAAATTTCTCCTTAGATACTCTCTTCTAAGGTCACTTGGATGGCTGAAATCTGGATCCATTTGTGAAAAAATAAATTGCCACAGAAGACAGTCTAAAATGATGTCTCACATGATCAACAGAAAACAAGTTAGCAAGTCTGATTTGTTATGACTGATGATGACATCATCAATCATTACAAATAGTTCAAGGAGGAGGTTGCTGGAAATATTGTTTTCAAGAATTTCAGTAAGCATGAATACTGTCTGGACACTTTATTCTACTCTTTATCTAGCAACAAAGAATATCAAAAACTGGAAGTTCTCGGGTTGCTGGTATTTGCTACTCTCTCTGGAGAGGTTTCTCAGTCAATAAGGAAATTTCCAATGACAATATGAAACTGCAGATTCTGATCATACAGCACATTATCACACATTTTTGGCCGCAGGTGCTGGGAATGTTCCCATGACTAAGGCTCTTCTCTGCAGTGCTAATACCTTAAGCAATACCTTAAGGCTGCTGAGAAGGAAAAGGCAAGGCACAAAAACGGAAATCCATGCTTATGAAGAACTGAAAACCAACAAAAACTAGCTTGAAAGTTGTACATAAGATTTGCTAAAGTCAGCTGACAGCTATGTGGAGAAAGCTGAGCAAACTCCAAACTTTACATTTAGTGCAAAATCCAATACCATGCGAAGATCTGCAAAGGACAAATCCATAGAGATATCAGAATTGGAAGAGGAGCTGAATGCTAAACTAGATGAACTGAAAAAACGTTAACAATATTGTGTTCTGTGCAACAAAAGCCATAAAGTAGTAAGGGTAGCTAAAATTCTATTTGTACTTCTGTTCATTAAAACCATTATACTTAACTTCACAAGAAATATGCAGCAGTCAATAATTTTTGTGACCTTCACAAACCATGAATGGTCTAGATAACCAAAATGTGTAGCAGTAAGTATGTGTAATACATAATTTTCAAGAGTAGTACAGCTCCAAACTCTGTAGAATACTACACAACATATGTAAAATAACCAGGTCTGCATTCAGTTGTTTTAGCCTTCAACACTTGGGCCAGCTGAAAGCAGTGAAGAGATCCATGTGACATGAATTAATGTAACAGCTGTAGCTTTTCTTTGAACATCTCATCTGTCGAACTAAACTACAAAGTGTTTTATTTTTTTTAAATTGAACATTCACTTTGTGTGTACATACACACACCGATTTCAGTCTTTGAAACTTAACATAGTCCCAGAAATTTTTTTTCTTTTTTTTTTACACAGGTCTGTGGAAACTGTGTGTATGTAATCTCAAAATCTTATCTATCACTTAAGGTTACAATAATGCATTAAGTGGAATTATGCCTCTTTCAAATATTGAAGTCAGAATTAACGTGTTTAGATAACATCAACAAGTAAATACAAAGGCTTCTGTTTTTTCTTTTAAGTTAATTAAAAGTTTGTGGCTTACATTTTGAGAAAAAACATTGAATTATTTAATCCTGTTTTTTTTTTTTTTTTTTTTTTTTTCCTACAAAAACATGACATCCACCAAGATTTGTCATCAAATATTTTGGAAAGATTTTTTTTTTCTCTTCAGATTGTGCCTTCTCCTACCCCAATGAAAACTGATGCTGAAGGAAAAGTGAACTTTGGCAGTTTTTGTATCAATGGACCAAAGTAAGGACTTTTTTTTTTTTTTTTTTCCCCTTCCCTTTCAAATATAAATTTTCAGTAGAAGATTGCTTCAGAACTAAATCTCATTTGTCCTTGCAATAGAGATGAAAACCTAAACACCCCCACGCACATACACTATGCAAGGCAGCTGAAACAATTCTCAAAAAATTAAGGCTATTTTGTAAATTAAATACAATTTTAGTGAATTTTTAGGTATTTAAAATGAGTCCTGTTACCCTTGAAGTAACACTTGAAATTAATAATAAAAATAAAATCACTCTGGCTGAATTACTATGCATCCTCCTACAATATCAAAATTGCTTTTGTTTAAATGAAACATGGTTATAGTACTTGTATGTTTTTATCATTTTATTCTTGTTTATTGCTTAACTGAATTAAAAAAAAAAAAATGACAATTTTTAATTCTATAAAAATATAATTTCAGAAAACTGTTATCCCAAATAAAGCTCACTAACTAACTTTTATAATTTTAAAATGGACTCTATTTAGTTACCTTTTTACTCCTTGATTTAAATTGCATTATCTTTCTGCAGGGGACTGTATGAATTAACAGTAAAAGCTCTGTTAGGTGGCAATAAAACCATTACTGGACCCAAAATCCAAATCAACATCCAACCTGACCCTACCAAGCCACTTCGGCTACATGTTGACTGTGAAAAGAATGTAATGGTTGAAGCTGGTACACAGTTACCTGGTAGGCTATAAATTTTATTTTTCTTCTCCAAGTATTCCTTAAATGCATCAGTAGCTTTTAAGAAACATACAGGAGTATAAAGCCAGTCCTTCCCTAATTATTTTAATAACTTTGCTAGAAAATAAATGTAACACTAATAAGCCAGGGTCTTTCATATTTTCTAAATACATCCTGAGTAGAAAAGTCTCTTATTCAGTGACCAAAATATGACCCCATCTGTCACCCATAATTTGATATTTGGTTGCTTTGATCAGGATTGTCCCACCCATAGTGTTACATTGCATTCTTGTACAGGTGATTGCTGAAAAAGTTCTGGCCAGCCCATGACCCAAAATATCATTTACCCCTCTTTTTTTTTTTTTTTTCTTTTTCTTTTTTTTTCGTTCCAATTTGCAGTGTGCATTCAAGATAAAACATCTCTGAATGACAATTGCTTCCCAGATAAATGTGCAATTGTAAACAATTTAGCTATACATTTGATGTCATTTATCAGATTTCATAATTTTTTTGACTGTAAGATAGACCTTTGTATTGATTAATGTCTTTTTCTCTGTATAGTTTATACAGTTAAAGTATTAGCTGAAGATGGCAACCCCCTAACATTAGCCCAGCCATCTCATCTTTCCATGAAACAATGGCATACTGATTCCTGCAACCAGCTAACTCCTCCCCCTAAAGTAAGTATCTGTCAATTGCAAAATTTGATGTATTTTAATGCAACTTAGTTCTATTTTCTTTGTTTTTGTCTATATTTGTATTGTAACATTTTTAACACTTTAGCATTCAACTAGCCCTGTAAATATCAGCTTTCCATGTTCAACCCACCACATGTATATGCTACCATATATGACAACATTATTGCAAATGAGGCAGGAAGTCACACAAACGGAGACTTTGAGAGCCAATATTTACAGAGCAGTGTTTGAGCATGTTGAATGTTAAAGGGTTAATTATAGTAAACATTTTCAGTTAATATTTTCAGTTTTTTTTTGTTTTTTTTATAATCTTTACTAAATGTGAATTATTTTTAATTATTTCAGATAAGTGTTACATATAAAATTCCACATTTGAAAAACAAAAAAAATAAAAGTAAAAATGCTCAGCAGAATGCTTTTTATAATTCTATTTAGTATCTCTTCACTGATTTGTAATAGAAAAAAGTAAATATTTGTACTGTTGCTATGGTAATGGAGTTAAGGTACACAGTGTGAAGCTACTTGACATAAATTGACCATGAACTCTGTTGCACATGCACACTAAGTGATAACATCCTTGCTCCCTTCCATTGTTTATACCAATGCTTAAAAGGAAAGTGTGTAAAATGTGATCATCACCATATCACAGAGGTCCCATCAGTGACCATGGTTTGTGCAGTGGTTTTTGGCCAAGCACAACATTCCCGGAGTCTGACAACCACTATATTCTTCAGATCTTGCAACTTTTTCCTCTTTCCAAAAATCAAATCCTATTTGAAAGGAATAAGATTACAAGACATGAGGAAATCCATGAGGATGGGACAAGGCAACTGCTTGCTATCTGAAAAAAGGAATTCCAGGAATACTTTGATCAATTGAAACAATGCTTGATAAAATGCGTGGCTTCAGAAGTGGGGCTACTTTGAAAAAGATTAAATGTCAAATTGGTATATGTTGTAGTTTTCTTTTTATAGCCTCAGGCCTGATACATTTTGGTCAGACCTCTTATAGGAGAATGAAAAAAAAACATTTTATTAATGTGTCAAATTCTTTTGTATATTGTATGTTGATATATTTGAAATTACATTAGATCTAAAAAGACCCTTTCCTTCTGCCTTTCTTAAAATCTGTTCATTGAAAGCTAATTTTGTCCCATTTATCTCTTGTAGGCTCTATCCTATAGTCCAGACAATATGGACAATACAGACAACCATAAAGGTATATTTACATTCAGGTGAGTGTTCTCTTTTTTTTTTTTTTTTTTTTTTTTTTTTATGCTGTTTACCAAATTACTCTTACCAAATTTAATTTGGTTTATATTGCAGCATCAACATCTTCTCGGAGAGAAAATGACTTATTTTTTTTTTTTTTTTTTTTTTTTTTTAAATAGTCTTGTTTTCCAGCTTTTTAATATTTTTCAGTCACACAAATTACATTTGTATTTGCATTTCAGTCACAAAATGTGTCCAGAGACAGCAGCCAAGTACAGTATTATGTTTGTATATTTTGATGGAAAATACAATGTAGATAGTGATGTGGTAAGTGATTTTTGTCTCTTTTTCAATAACAATAATCTCATTTTTTTTTTTTTTTTTTTTTTTTTGTCAAATTTCATACCGAAAATGCTTTTTATTTTTACTTAATTTTTAAAACATACCTTTTCAATGAATCTGACTTTATATATATATATATATATATATATATATATATATAGGCAGCAATCACTCTTTTGTACATTTTTTGCTAAAAAAAATTATATAGCCGAAAGCACCCTGGCCAGTCGTTTTTAACAAAACTTGTATAAAAGACTGCTGCCCAAATGTACAGTTATTAAATTAATGTTCCAGCAGCCAACAAGTAAAATATAATGGCTAAAAGTATAGCTGAAAGTTTGGGTTAGTTGTTTTTAACGAAACTTGTATACATCCAATTTTATTTTATTTTTACCATATATCTCTGAGAACTGTTCTGCTAAAGATATTAGTTTTGTTTTTTTGTTTTTTTTTGTATCCAAATCCTATTATTAGCTAATCTTGACTTGATGTTATGATGCTCTGGTTTGGCTTTTTCTGTTTGTAACATCTGCTGTACATCAATTGTTTGTTTCAGATAACTTTAACTGCCCTTCCCAGCATGCCTTCAAAGCTGGTGCCTCTTGAACGCATTGGTACACCCACTGTGAGCAACTCCAAAAATAACACCAGTCGCTGCCTAATAAAACTTCTTCATATGGAAATAAGGGTAAGTATTATTCATTACTTTAGCATAACTGAAGGCAGAGAAATTAAATCTAATTTCAATTAGATAGATCTATGGGTTAAACAGTTCGGTTCAAAATTCTGACATATCATCTGAAGAAGAACGGGAGGTACAATAGCCAAAACGTGAATATGACAATTTTTTTTTTGTGTATGATATGAATTTGAACACCTGGAATCCTGGAAGAGTTCCAAAAGACTGGAGAGATGTGATCATGATGCCATTGTGCTTTGTCTAAGGTAGCTGTGTAGGCATTATGATTGTGTAGCTTTACATTTGACAGCAGGCAAAATCCTACTGGAGATTTTGCTGTCTTTACTGAATGCTTACATTATGAATACAATACTGCTAGTCACAATGTACCTTCCAGCATCGTAAGGAAAAAAGGGATATAATTTTCACAGCACAAATCCATGAGAAGTTGTATGAACAACAACAAGGCCTGTTTCAGGTCTTCATAAATCTTAGCAAGGTCTTCAATACTGTAAACAGAACTTAAGTGTCTGAAGATCTTCCCTGTAGGATGTCCTTGCCATTTCATATAGATAATTTCAATTCATTTCATGATTACCTAGAAATGTTAACATGGTGGTTTACTTTCAGAATCCATCAAAGTATAAAATGGTGTCGAGCAAGAAGACTTGTCCTGGGCATGACGACATGCTGCATCCAGCAGCAAGACCTCTAATCAGAATTTGAAGAGCGTGGAACCGCCTCTTAATTGTTGGTGTTCCCAGGTCCACCCTGACCTGGGGTAGTAGCACCTGTTAGAGTCCCAGCTATGGGTAAATAGTCTCCCCCTTCCTTGATCTGGAAACGGAATACTAGGAAAGTGTAAGAATGGGTTTTTGTAATAACAATACCATCAACACAAATTGCAGTATATAAAGTGCACATTCAAACCCAATTTCAAAAAAGTAAAATTTCCCCTAAATGGGGCCACCTATTTGCTGTGGGTGGCAACCCGTGATGCTTGGTGATGGAGTCCTGGTGACTGAGTGACTCCTGATCTTGTGTAAAATGACCAGGAGCTGCCTCAACACGTCACTTCGGTCCCTACCTGGGATAGACGGGCGGATGGAATAGCCCAATCCATTCCAATCAGCTAGTCACATTGTGGCAAGGGCTAGTTAGGATGATAGATAATGGGTCCAACAGGGCCACGAAACCTTACATCATACTATACTTGGGTAGATATGGTGGGGGAGTGCAGGTGTTCATATTCACTCTCATCACAGCTATGCTGTCTGTGTAGCCCTGGCAGATTAGGGTGAATGGGATTAGTCTCTCCTGATAGCGTCCCTTAAGGAAGTCTAAGGTGGGTGGGGAGTACAGACAGCGAATACAAAAATTAAAATTATATGGCTACTTCTTATAAGCAAACCTAGAGACAATGAGACTTCTGAAAGCGAAAATGAAATAGAAAAAAATCAATTTCCAACTTTCATTGTTGTAGAATCAGTAGAGGGTGATATATCAAAAGTGTCTCCTTTTGTGTTGCAAAGGGTTATTTCAGACATAATCAAACCACAATCTGTTAAAAAAAATAAAGAAAAATAATACTCTATTAATTCAAGTGATATGCAAAAAAGATGCAGAGAAATTGCTAAAAATCAAGCAAGTTGAGAACAATAAAGTTAAGGCCTACCCCCATCAATTCCTTAATTCATTAAAAGGAGTAATAAAATGCCCAGAAATATCACTTTGTTCATCAGAAGAAATTGAAAATGATGACACCCTAAAAAAGCAAGGAGTAACAGAGGTAAAAAGAATGCAAGTAAAAAGAAATGACACAGTAATAAACACCAACACATATATTTTGACATTTGAAACCCTATACTGTCAACCGTGAACAAAAATGACTCTACATCTACAAGACTATTAAACCCGAAAAATCGAAACAAAAAAAAAAAAATCCAAGAAATAGAAAAATCAAAACATTCTCAAGAGAATGAAAAGATACAAAAAAGAAAATAATAATAATGAAACTGTTATTGAAGAACCAAAAAAAAAAAAAAAATGAACATACAGGAACAAATTTCTAACCCATCACAAACAAGGGAAAGATCATCATCTAGACAAAGTTCATTAAAAGAACCAAATGGTAAAACTAAGGGAGCAAAATCAAACAAGAAAGTAGCAACAAAAGAAGTTCAAAGAAAACATAACAAACAAAATGCTAATAGTCAGAAGTATATAGAAATGGACACTTCACCCATAAAAAAAAAAAAAATTTGGACATGTAAAAATTTATAATACATGATCAAGATGCAAAACCTTATTCAATGGAATTGTAACTGGGGTCAAAACACTATGAAAGTGTAAAAATAGGTTTTAATACCTGAAATACTTTGTAAAAAAAAATTACCAGCAATGCATTTTTGAAACCCAAATGTTGCCAGCAATGCATTTTTGAAAACGAGAAAAATATTATCAGCAATACATATTTGAAAGAAAATTACCAGAAATGGATTTAAAAAAAAAAAAAATATTACCAACAATAAAAATTGTTGGCATTAAATAACCCATTGAGGTTGATATGCCATAAAACCAAACAAGGGGACCTTTTAGCACCTAAATTACATTGTCCTTCATGCCTTTATGGACTGTGGCGTGTGCATACTTGATATCCTGCAACTGATGACCTATTCAACATCCAAGATTTCTCTGCTAAATCTAAGATATTCAAAGTTCTTGTCCAAGACCTTCTGTATGGCAATGACTGTGACTTGGTAACAAAACAGGAAATGCAGGCTCTGAAGGATGATCTTTCCTGTTTCTACAAAGCTTTCTTTCAAAATTACTATCTGCCTAGACAAGGCAGTGGTTATGTTCCAACCTACTCCAGGCTCACCTTATATTGAACAATCATATTTGTGGACCACTACAAAATGAAGGTGGTAGACAAATTCACATATCTTGTGAAAACTATGAATAGACACTACACTCTTGACAATTAAATACCTGCTCATGTCTAGAAGGTAACTGGTGCTTTTGCAGCTCTAAAAGAGTAAGTCCAGTTTAAAAGAGGACTTGAAGTGCACAAAGATTGCAGTCTGTCTGTGTATTAGCATACATGCTATACACCTGTGATAGGAGGGAGCATTTCATCACCACTGGCTAACCGGTGTTAGCTGTCATAGTGTGTGCATCTTTTGCATCGGCTTTGTCATAGAGATTTTGAAAGTTAGGCTATCTTAGTGATTTATTAGTTACAACAGCCTATTTGACTGATTGGCGTTTAATTTTTAAACTTTTCATCACACCGGAAATGAAAATTCTTAGTCAAAGACAAGAAAAATTTACACACGAAAGGCCATTTATTTATTTTTGTAAGAGAAACAGCAACATAAAATGTTGGCATTGTGACCAAGGAACTAAGTGTAATGCAAGACTTTATACAAAGTTTGGAGCAGCTATCAAGGAAGTAAACAAGCATTCTCACCAGTTTTTCGGCAGCCAATGTAGAAGTGGGTAAAGTGCACACAGCTTTGAAATGTTGTGCCAAAGACACCATTGAAAACCCAAGTGCAGTAATAAGTATTAGCAAATTTATTTTGGGTTACACTGGGATCATTGCCAGATGCTTCAGCCATAAGGAAAATGATTAAATGCAAAAGGGAAGCTGTAAGCACCCCCCCCCCTCCAGATCCTGTAAAAGTTAGTTGCAACACCAAAACCAAATTTACATCCCAGAAGGAAGAGAAGAAAATTACTTTTATTCAGTTTTTAGTGCATATTTTACATGCTGTTGAGTCAGCAGTGAGTTGTCCTGTGCCCCACCTGTGAGACATGGGTTGTATATCTCAGACACCTAGACAGTCTCCACTAATGCTGTTTAAGATTGATTCTTTGTACCCACTGAATGGCACACATGTCACACCCATTGTGGTTTTTGAAAGGCCAATTGAAGCACACCTTTATCACCACAGATTTCACTGGGCAGGCTATGACATTCACCTTCATTGCTCAAAATTGTCAGTGATGGTCTCTCATTTAACAAGTTGATAATCATTTTTTGTGTGTTTATGTATGTGCATCTTTTTACAAATGCACATTGTTTGTACAAAAAAATACAAGCTTCCCTCTCTTTCTCTTTGGTGACCAGAAAAGTCCTCTAAAGACAAATTCATAACATTAGTTTCGAGCTAGGAAATTTTCACATCTCTTAATTCATATTTTAATAAAAAAAAAATAAAAAAAATTAATCTTGCCATCATTTTTTTTTTTTTTTTTTCTCTAGCCTCTAAAATTGGTGACTGTCTCCTCATGAGTTCTCTCCTATATTTAAACATTGTAGGACCAATATGACAACCCAGTGGGGTCAAGATGTGATGGCTCTATAACCATCATGATAAAGGCACCAGCTGGAGTAGACGAAGTGCCTGCATTTGTTGGTGACACCCGACATCTTGTGGTCCCTCTGTGCAATGGTCAAGCCACACTACAGGTAAACATTCATTTATTTAAATGTTCTGTGTCATATTTTTCACTAAAACGTGAAAGATTGTGGTAATATAAAACAAGAATTTACATTTTTGAAGTAATGGATATAAAATGACAAATTAATTTTTCTTTTATATATATATATATATATATATATATATATATATATATATATATATATGTGTGTGTTTCATTGAATTAAGACGGTGCTTTTAGGTTTTTTTTATACAATTTCTTATGTGATTTTTTTTTTTTTTTTTTTTTCTTCCCCCCCACTCTTTTCAGAGGATAAATTATATAAAAACTGTCCAATTGTTTCTTTCTTTCCAAGCTCTTTCGGTTATACATTTATGTTCAATCCTTTAATGTGATTCTATTTTGAAAATGTATTTTAACTTCAATCTTTCTTATCAGCTGTTAAATGAAGACACTAAAAACACATATCTGATGTCATCAATGCTATAGAATGGTTGGTTGAAGTGTGCAGCAACAGTAGAATTGTTGTTGGGGTTTGTTTTTTTTGTTGTTTTTGTTTTTTATCGCTATTGGACCATCTTTCATTTTAATCACATACATAGAAATATATATAAAAATACAGATGAAATACTTCAACTTCAAAAACGTTTTCAAATAATTCTGTCCTTAAATTCACGTATGAACTCAATACTAATAATAAAATTCCCTTCCTTGACATATTGATAAACACAAATAACAAATTTACTATTTTGCCATACAAAAAACCTACCAGCATAAATTCATGTACACTTAACTACAAGAGCAAATGCCCATATTACTACAAAATAGCAACTATAAAAAATCTAATACATTGTGCAGAAACTAATTCATCCGCAAAACAGATTTTTTACAATGAATTAAAGAATATAAAAAACTTATTAATAGCTTTCCAAACTATAGAGTTGAACAAATAAGATGCTTTCTTAGAAATCTCAATACTAAGCAAATAGTAGATAATACTGCTTCTACTAATCTCAAACATATTAATCTCCTATATCGTAATCAAATGCATACTAATTATAAAGATGAAAATATACTAAAAAAAAAAAATTAGTAAATACTAATATATCTACAACAGATCCTAGCAAAAAAATGAAGTTAATCATATACTACACTAAATCTAGTATATCCAACTCAATTATTCGCAATGATTCTTCTCCCCTGGCTAGCGATTTGCAAAAAAACCAACATAGTTTACAAATTCAAGTGCCCTTTGGCAGATTGTATCTCCAACGAATTAAATAATATTTATGTTGGTCACACCACAAACTAGCTTTCACGACGCTTAACACTACATTTGAATGATAACTCTAACATTTTTAGGCATTTAAAACAACATGCCTGGCCGCATACACAATTCCAGAAAATCCTTGTTGAAAACACAACTATACTTAAACATGAAAACAAACTAAAAATTCTTGAAGCTATATACATGAAACAATTGAAACCTAACCTGAACAAAATAAACTGAAATCTCCACAAATATTCTTAAATGCCTATAATTGGTAACAGAAGCCATTGGTTTATACTAAGATTCCCATACTTAATACCTCTCGAATTCACTCTCGCTTGGTTGTGTGTGACGTTATTAGCTGCGGTGTGATTTTCGCTCCAGCGTCTTATATGCACAAGTTTGTCGTATTTGTTTTATTAAGCTTTTTAATATTTGCATAACACAGAGTACTCTAGTTCTTAGGCCAACCAATTTGCTAAAAATCATTGTTCTGATGTTAGAATTTTTTTTTCTTTTTCAAGTAGAGTAAACAAAGATTTTCAGCACCCCCTTTGATGTATTCTTATTTTCTTAAATTTTTAGAATGTTAGTCTGCAAGAGAATGTTATTAAAGATGGGCAAGAATACCTTTTAGAAAATAAAAATTACATCTAAGGTATACCAGAGACAAAATGTGTGGAACCATTACAAATCCGATTTCTTTTCACCAACGGTAAGTTCCTGTTTCTTTTTTGTTCTCATTTTTCAGAACTCTGTCATCATCAGTGTTTTCATCTTGCATTTTGGTTTAGAACAAAAATTGCTGTAATTTGAGAGATGAAATGAAAAATGGGACTAATTGGATTCTGAGTGCATATCTCTCTTCTTTCTCCCCTTCTCCCCTCAAATTTGCTGATACAAGGACATATTTTCTGGAAGAATGGGTTAATGTAACATTAATCAAATAAAAAATAAAATAAAGATGAGGATTTTATAATCTTTTAATTGCATATCAACAAAATGTCATTAAATCCTTCATGAGATTTTATAGTTTCTTCATGGAATAAAATTTAAAACATTAAGGAAATAAGATTGGGATTAATATTTAAACTCATTGTTTAAATTTTTGTATTATTATTGATGCTTGACTACACATTCAAATATTTGTAACTTCAATATTTAAAAAAAGATATACTTTTTTGTTTAAAATTACTGTTGAATATCTTTACATAAATGAACATTTCCTGAGCATATATGAAATGGTTAATTGCAACAAACACCTTTTCTTTCCAATACAATATTAAGTTTCATTTCTGCATGCTTTCCATAAATATTGATAAATTACTTTTTACATTTACCTTGTTTGTTTACCTAAATTTATTGTAATACAACTTCTGTCCCAGAATAGTGTATGACCTTTGTAAATAAAAACAAACTTGTTGAAAAGAAATTCAGTACTAGAAACTAAATTTATTTAGAAAAGCACTTAAATTTAATTTACATGGAAACATTTATTTAGAGATTCTTAATAAAATCCAAAGAATCTGTAATGTCATCATTCCTGACATGACCTCTCAGTTTTGGTCACTTTCTCACTGCCCTAGTGTAGCTTCCCTGTGCCTTTTCTATAAATATTTTCATGATAATTGTTCTGATGAGCTTTCCTCTTTGGAATCTAAACTTTATGAATTTAAGTGCAGTACTAGGTTGGCAGTTACATCTCATCATTTTACAGTTGAAATGGCAAGATGAAACTATAACTTTTATGTTAATGGTTTCTTCTCACTTCTCCATGCTTTCTGGCCAACTTTGACATTTAAAACTTTAAATGCAATGTCAATTGTTAGCTTCTGTCTTTATTCTTCTCTCTTTTAATGTTTTCTTTTTCTCATATTCTTTAACACTCAGTAACCCAGTGCATCTTAGCGGCTTTATTGCCTTGCTTGGGGTGAAATTTTCTCTTTCTCTTAAGAAATCCAGTAATACTTCATTTTAAGTATTCTTAATTTTCCACATGTACTGAAAAGTTCAGACCAACCAAGGTGCCATTAAACTAAATCAAAAAAATATTTAAATCCTAATGTTTGGTTAAATGTGTTGAGCTGATAACTTTCACCACCTTTTTGTATATAAACCCAGCAGGTGCAATATTGTAATTTTAATTATTTTCTTACTTTTGAACAGTTTTCTTTTAAGACCTCTTTTTTTTTCTTTTCTTTTTTTTTTTTTTTCTTTTTTTTTAATTTAAAAAATGCCAAATTTAAAATGTGGCAACATAAAGTTGTTGCTTGGGCATATAGACATAACTGTTAATGAATGTTGCCAGCAATCAAAAGTTCTCAGCTTTCCTATTTGCTTTGAAGCAATAAATTTGCTTCTCTTTTTTTTTTTTTCTTTTCTTTTTCCTTTCGCTCTTTTCTCGTCTCCTTTTTTCTTTCCTTCTCTCTTTAATGTAGAAATTTCCTTAACAAAGTCTCTGTAGATTTGCAGGCTTTGTAATGACATTTTGATTTCGTAATTACTGCCACTTTGCTGAAAATGGAAGCAAATAGAAAACCCTGAGAATTCCACTTGTATTTATGCAGACATTTCAATAAAAGTTACTAGATTTACAAGATCTGTATGCTTCTTAATTCTTTTTAGTCTAAACTGCATTTATCATAAACTATAAAAAAAAATAGAATTTCAAGTTTAATTTCTATTGATGTAAAGGGAATTAAAATTTTGTACAAGTTGTTTTTGTTTTGTTTTTTGCTTTCTTTAAAATCTTTATAGAACAAAGTTTGCAAAAATATTCTTTAATTTTGCAATGGATAAGATTTTTTAATTTTTGCGTTTGATATTTGATAGGAACAAAAGAAATCTTGAATGTTAAAAATAGAAAAAAATTCCTAAATTGAAAAGTTCATCTACTTACCCTGCTAGATGGTAAGTTTTCAAATAAATGCCCCCATTGTTAAGTGAATATTTCCTGAAGAATGGAGTGCAACTGTTGTCATCTTTTGCTGTGAGTAGATGTAAAAACCATAACATTTTCATCTACCATATGTGGAGCTGGTAATCTAATGTGCAATGGTGCTTCAAATGGTACATCTGTTGTTGGAGTCAGAATGACAGCCACACCTAATGATAAAACATTGCTTCAGTGTTGGATCTTTTTTGTTTCTATATGAACAGCTTCTTCACTGATGTTAACAACCTGAAAAATAAGTTTTTCTCAATTAGAACTTAGGTCTATTGGCCTGTAAAGGAGAAAATGACAATTCCATTGAATACATTGCCAAACAAGCTCTTTAACCTAAAAAGTCAGTTACTTTTCATTTAATTAATTTTCATTTGTTGTAAAATCTATTACCTGGATTTTTGCGTAACTCTTATTCATTGAGTTTGTTTTCATTAAGCACTTTGGTCAAAAGCTAATGAAGATCTTGCTTAAGGCATTTCTATTGGTTTTGAATTGTCTTCCTCCATGACTAGAACCCAATCTGTCTTGCTATTTAACTCATAGCTGAGTGGGGAAGAATAAATGGATTCATACAAAAAAAAAAGTAAATGTAATGAATTCTGTTATTCAAACTCTGCTCTCCAATTTCTCATTCCAAGTCGCTATCCATTACCCTACCCACAGATCTTTTACGTGTGTTTGTGTATATGAGAATTTTCAGTGAATGTAGTTTTAAGATTCAGTCAGTCAGTTATGTGCTATGCATGCTTAGGCGATCATGTATCTTTCGATACATGTCTGACGAGGCAGACTTTTTTGTTTTCTCCGCATTTCTTTCTGCGGTAGACCAGTTGCCATCCAATCCTATAGAACTTGGTCTGTCGTAAATAGCAGGACATAGCTGGGAGGATAAGAGGATTCATACCTTTCCCAAGGGTATTAGTACATAAGTGAATGCAATGGATCCAACTGGAATTCAAACTCAGCTCTCAGATTCCTCAATCTGAGCCGCTATCCACCATGCCTCTGTCAGATTCAGATTTTTCATTTTGACTCTAATGGAAAGAATTGTCAGTTATGGTTTACTAGATTCACCATCTTCTTCCCTCTCTATGCCCATGAATATCAGGAGTCTTTCTTTTTTAACCTGGGGTGTACATTTTAATTAGGTAAGTATATTATTATAAGAGTATTACACCTGCTTTTAACTTTACTTCAATCCTGATAGCATTCATTATTCAACCTTACCTATTGGGTGCTATGAGAGATAATTGTATTTTCTGATAGTTTTCCTTTCATTATAGCAACTAAATAAATCCAAAATGATAAAAAAAAAAAAATCATTTGTTTTTTTTTTTTTCCTGTTTTTTTGCCAAACAACTGATTTCAAAAAGAAACTAAATAAATTTGGATTAAATGAAAACTTATTGAAATAGATTTCATCAAACAATAGTAAAGTTTGTTTGTTGTTTTTTTTTTTTTTTTTTTTTTTTTTCCAAAAAACAATTGTACATTTTCTGAAATTGTTCTTTCTAACAAAATTTGTCATATAAAAACAAACTGACAAAATCTGTCATTTTGGGTTTGGTTAACCACTTTACTAACCTTCATAGTTAATTGCAGTTGATGATCCATGTTGTAGCTTGGTATGTTCAGGCAAACATTTGGATTTAGTGATGAGATAAAGCTTCCTCCATTGCATGATATACTAAAGGTTTCTTTCATAACTTTGACCAATTCTTTTGCTATTTTCCTCTTGGGATGATTTTGACAGCAGCAATCTCGAGCTTTCAATTTTGGGTAAACATTCAAACTACAGATAGATAAAAAAAAATTGCATTTAACTTGGTAGGTCAATAATTGTTGAAACCTGAATGTTTATTACAATGCTATTTAATTCCATTATACTTGGTGAGTGTTAGACTATTTTCTTCCAGTTTTGTTCATTTTCAAAATCTACCCTACCCACCACTGTACATTGAACTACACACACACACACACACACACACACACAGAATTAATTTTGATAAAGTTGTGAATATTAATTTTATATTAAGCATAAAGGGATATTACTGAGGAGGTCCAAAAAAGCATTAAATGTCATAATTTACATTAAAAAAAAAATTAATCTGGATCAATGTATTTCAGCAGATATTTATTTTTATACCTACATGTAAGCATCAATTCATTTCTCTTCTTTAATAAGCTAGTGTTAAGTGTTTTAATATAACTAATTTTTCAACAAAGCACAAATTACATCTATCACCTTTCCCATTGTAAGAATTTGTCTTTTGCTACAATATCCCATGTAATAATGGGTGTATTACCACCATTCTTTAATTACCAGAAATGTTTAAAGAGCAGTGCTGCTTATGTAACTTACATTGCCAAAAGTCATTCACTGATAGAAACAAAATTTCTAAGGATTTTTATTGGAAGCAAAATAAAATTTGACATTACCTGAATGTATGCTAACTCTGTATAAAATATTATCAGTCATACATTGGCCATTTAAGGGACAGATCGGTTTGTTTGTTTTTTTTTTTTTTTTTTTTTTTTGTGGCAGTTGCATTTATTTTTTTTAAAAATTAACTTTGTTGTCTTTGCTAGACATGTATCTGTTTAATATGGGATATTGATTTATCAATTTTAATACAGCTATAGCTCATCTTGAAATTATTTTTGTTAAAAATCTTTTAGTATTGGTGAGTGATTAAAGTGCTTATGAATTAAATTTAGGAAAATTCTTCCAATATTTATTTGAACTTTACAATTAAAAGTGGGGGGGA